ACTTATTAGACAGTTAGGTTATGGTGGGTAAGGAAGACGACCATCATCATGGTCTCACTCAGTGTGCTGTAACTTTTTATGGTAAACAGTCTTACGTATAAAAACCTATTATTGTGTTACAGGATTTTTGAATTTAATTCATACACCAAGTCCAAACAAAGACCACATTACATATTCATAACACTGTCACTCTTCCACTCTTGAATACCCCTCTTTCTACTTATTATATTCATATGCACTTATGTGTGAGGCACTAAATGGATCTCCTGTTCTGTTTGGATATGGCAGCCTATAATGCCTTCATAATCCAGAGACATAATAAGCAGCCTCTTTCATGTGTTGAGGTGAAGTGAGTCCTGGAGGGATTGACTCGGTGCGGCTCAAAGACGAGATTTCCTCTCCCAGATGAAAAGGAAATGAAAGTGGGTGGGTGAGGGGGGGGGTGCAAAAGGGAGAGCAGGAGAGTATGAAAGGGAGTTCAGGGGGAAAACAGAGAGGTGCAAAAGACTGAGCTAGACTGAGAGGGGAAACAGAGCAGGAGAACGTGGGTGGGACATGAATGAGGGAGGCAGACGGAGGAGAAGGGGATTGGGGAGAAGTGAATCAAAGTACAGCAGAGAGGAGGAAACAGAGATATCTGGTAGGAGCTAACAGGATAAGAAGGTAGAAGATTTAACAGAATTGTGGCACACGTGATCAAATTTGGGGTAAAAGAGGAATTATCAGCTAAACATGCTTACGGCATCCACAGATGAAGTGTTTATGTGAATGGGCTCCTCACACAGCTTAAACCAGACAAATATTTATTTCTACTCAGCATTACCTGTGCTAATTTATTAGGGTTATATAGGGTCCTAGCCATAGTACTAGCCATCATTCATCTTTTTAACTTTGCCTTATTTCTTTACCAAAGAGATTAAACACAACTCACCCAATTTCTTCCAGCAGCCGCTTGTTGGTAGTGAGACCTCACACCAGTCCATTACTGACTGCTGCGGGGTGACGCAGCTCAAGGAAGAACATTTATGATCATTACTTCATGGAAATGCAGTCAGACCGAGACACTAAGGCAGAAGGACTACCACGTCTGCAGTGCAAAATGATTATTATGATGATTTTTACTTCAAGGAAATGATTAAGTAATGATCATAAATGTTCTTCCTTGAGCTGCGTCACCCCTGCTGTAGTCCGTAATGGACTGGCCTGAGGTCTCGCTACAAATAAGCGGCTGCTGGAAGAGAGTAGGTGAGTTGTGTTGAGTCTCTGATAAAGAAATCAGGCAAAGTTAAAAAGATGTTTGGTGTCTAGTGCTGTGACCAGGACCCTATGTCTACTGTTGATGAAGTTAGGTGCAGCTCTGAGCATTATTTGTGGCTATAGAGTGGCGTTTTGGTTGAGGTTTGTTTATGGCTCCTCAGACTGCTGTGTATTGCATTGTTGTTACTACTGTTGGTTTAACTAGAGAAGCAAGCAGCTGGGGATGGGGGTGTCTAAGTCGGTGTTTCGGTGTGTTTGACCCTACATTGATTTTAAGCCGGAATATCTCTTTAAGACTCTTTATTTCTATCTACTCAGTGTCAGATCGGCTCTTCTTTATAAAATATTTTCCTGAAATTGACATGCTTTATCACCTTATAAGCTTCTGGTAGATGTATCTCCCAAAGAGCTATATCAATTATTTCAGTTATATATATGTTTTTTACACTTTTCTGTGTAATTCATATGTATGACTAAAACTCACCCTTTAAGAGCTGTTATAAAGTACCTATAAGTGGTCATTGAGTGTATGTTGTGAATGTAAAATGAGTACTATAAATAAGAACATACAGTATGTGCCCTTTCATTAAACATGAGGTGTGCAAGCATCATGTCCTCCTGCTTATGAAGCACATGTTTGCTCACGCATGCAACAAGGTAGAAGAGAAAGAGAGACACTGACAGATAGCAAAACAAAGCCGTAGCCAGCACGGCGGCAGCATGTGATGTCTTGTGTTCTAAGCAGTGCAGGTGGTCCCCTATAGACTGATTATAGGTGGGAAATAATGGACCGCATGCTCAACCACGATTGTACAAAGCTACTGGAGAGCACTCTGTGATGTTTTTTCTTCACATACAGTCACACTTCAGGTACATCTGTACAGTGTGAAAAAACAGCTAACAAGTCAATTGTGACAATGTATAAGGCGGGAGGTGGCTGAAATGCTTATATTACCTGTTGCTTTACAGTGGCTATTAACATGCACCATATTGGATTTTTTTCATTACTTTTAATCTTAACACCTCAGTTCCACTTGCATATGTAACTAGTGTCTGTAGATCTGTAAACAGACAGATGATTTCTCTAGTGTCCAATAAAATGAAAGTACTTCATTAAAGGTGGATTAGAGACGGTGAGAGAGAAGCTAGTGAGCAGCACGTTTGCTAAGCTAGCACAGCCTCTCTGAAATCTGCAGCAAAAGTTGATTTTTTTTTACATACAAGGGGAAGATTCTGGACCACAATATGACAGAGGTGAGGAGTTTTGCAGGTCGACTGGATGTCACAGTGGTTCACATAGAAGTGAAGGGACTTATAGTTAATTCGCCTCTGGACACCCGGGCACCCAAGGAGAAAGAGGGTGTGAGTTAATAATCACGTTTACATGTGCATAATTTCTTGATCCGATAAAAAATATAAGGGATCGAATAATCTGAATCTACTGTTTATATGGGCACAAGTCAAATAATCCGATCATAGATAGATAGATAGATAGATGGATAGATATACTTTATTGATCCCAAACTGGGAAATTCACGTTACAGCAGCAAGAAAATACAAAATAAAATTTAATTTAAGAAGTAAGTACAATGCAGACTAAAAATACTAAAAATAGTAAGTATATACAATAAATACAGACTAAATATACTAAACATCCTAAGACAAAAAAGTGAGATATGATGAGATATGATCATGACGTGCATATACATGCACCAAGTTTTATTCCGATTCAAAGCATTTGGACATGTGCAGAGTTCTCTGATTTCGCTAAAACAACCACAGAAGAAGAATTGTATTTACGCCTGTGCTGTCAACAAACCAATAAACGCGGTCCTGCAGATGCGACATCATTACGCTGTATGTACGTCATGTTATGTTACCGGAGGAGCAGACATGGGACCTGTGCGTGTGTTTTATGCCGGAGTGTTAATAATAAAACCTCCTGGACTGGCCTCAATAAATAAGCCAAAATCAAAAGAGTGAAGATCAAGTCAGGTAAGTGAGTCACGATCGGAATAAGTGCTTACATGGACAAGTTTGAGAATAACAATCGGCATAAACCAGTCCTCTCGATCGGAATACGATTTCATTCTGATTGAGCCGAAATGGATCGAAATCTTCCGATCGACACATTTACATGACGCTCTTTTATTCTGATCGGGCATTTATTTATGTAAACACAGCTACTGAGTCCTTTAAATGCTCATTTTTATATTTTTCCCTTAAAATCGATTGTTTTTATTTTTTCCTTGCAAGCGTAAATGAATAAGTCAAAGGAGTTTAGAACTTAACCTTAAATAAACAAAATCGCAAAGTTATACTACTTTCATGCCGTTCAGTTTATTGAGGAACTTTATCATATCTTCGTTCTTTAAAGAATTGTAAAAAAATAGGATTTTCAGTGAATGACTTGAATTATGGATCCTCATTGACTCGATTTCACACTGATAATGTTGTAAAAATATTCAGCGATATTCTCCTTTTTACAGTGCAAACTCTCACTCCCACACCTGCAAAGCTATGCTGAAAAATATCACAGGAAGTGGAAAAAGCAGTCTTCTCTTGACCGCTATCAGATTAAGGAGAGCCTCTGAAAATCACATGTACCCAAATCTGTAATTTTACTGAGCAGTCGAGTGCTGCAGAGTGGAGCGCAGAGGCTCGTATGATCAAACGGGGGTCTAAATATAGGATGCTGCTGCATGATTTCTTCTGCTTGAGCAGGGATTCACCCAGCCTCAGCCCAGGATGAGAGGCGAGATGAAAGAGAGGAGAGAAACAGAGAGGGAAGGGAAGAAAGAAAGAGGAGAAGTTCGGGCCATGTTTAGAAAAATGCTTTGGTTCTGAGTCTGTGATCCAGTTTGAGTGTGTGTGTGTGTGTGTTTGTCTGAGGGAAGGAGAGAGAGAGAGAGAGAGAGAGGGAGAGGGAGGATGTAAGCTCAGTCACATGGCAGTGCATCCTTTCTTGTCCATCACCACCTAGAGGAGGGCCAGCAGCTCTGTAATCTCTGAGGATCTGTCTATAAATGCTGGCTGCTTTACAATCTGTCCATCATCTCATCACACGGGCTGCAATGTTGTGTGACCTCAGTCAGGTCTGACAGGAGGAAGTCCACTGACAGTCCTCTAAACACATCCAGACTGATCCGTCTTGACAGGTGTGTGAAAAAGAAGTTTCCATACCAAACTTCATTTGGTTTTTCACCAGTTTATCCACAACTAACTTCCACTGTTGTCTTCTAATAAACTGCAAATGAATGTTGTCATCCACAGAGTGTTAATAGAATGGGGAGTGTTCATCCAAGGTTGGTGGTTCGATTCCCCCTTATCCCGAGTCTGTCCGTTGTGTTCTTGGGCAAGACACTTAACCCACCTTACTCCCAGTGTCTGTCCTCCACTGGTTTATGATTGTGAGTGTGTTGTGTGGTGGTGGTCGGAGAAGCCGTAGGTGCAAACTGGCACCACGTTTCCATCAGTCTACCCCAGGGCAGCTGTGACTGCTAAGGTAGTTTACCAACACCAAGGTGTAACTGTGTGAGCGAATGAATGATGTATCCAACGTAAAGCGCTTTGACGGTCTCTGATAAAGTGTTGTATGAAATCTGATGTATTATTATAATAACAGTCTATGGTCATCCAAAAGTGTCTGCTTCAGTAATCTAGTGAGAAAGGATACTATGCAAAAGCTAAAGTATAGCAGAAAACAAGAAGTATAACTAAATCTAAGGGCCATCTAGATAACATTTCAAGTTAGAGTTCGTCTCAAATGTTTAAACTGGGTACTTGGCGAACAAAGCGTTCAGCCATGTTCCACAAATGAATGTTTTGTTTCATGCAAATCTGCTGAGTGGTCTTTATCGAAGCAAGAGTAAAAATCAAGCCTGCTATAATTTCTTTATCTGTTACCATTGACTGCGTGTAAAACAGTGAGCAGAGTCCAGGTAAAGACTACCGACCGAGGGTGTCAGAGTCTCTGAGGGAGGCGTTAAAAAGTCTGATAAACCCTGTATTTTCAGAATTTCAGCATAGTGCATGTTTAATTCATGTATTTTACAACATTTGCATGCATTTTTTTATTTTTTATTTTTGTGTTTGAAGGCTATGACATGTCAAAACTAAAAAAAATTTCGCTCAAATTTAAATTCATGTATGATGTGAAAAACAAATAAACAAAAAAACAACAACATCCAATTGCTGAGTAAGAGACAGCAGTGGTAAGAGTGCTGATATATTCTACTGTGGTAAACGTATAATTGCATGAATGACACTTTACTGTAGTGAAAGTAACGCTACATACCACAGATCTGCTCTTGTCAGTTAAAAGATATCTAGTTTGAAATCTATCATACTGTAAGTATAATCAAAGGCTGACATCTTGTGGCCCTCTATGGAAGTTCAACTGTAATACCTGACCTCACCTACGGGCGGCAGTGTGTTCTTAAACAGCAGTTTTTTCCCCGGTACCTTCCTCTCTTGACTCGGTTCTTCTTGTTTCCTGCCGGAGCTGTGTCTCTTTCTCTTCCGGTTGTCGTCTGTTCGTGTGGCAGGTACATCCTAAACCCGTTCGGGTGGACTTTTAAAATCTAAATCAATCTTTGTGTGTTTTACATGTTCACACCAAAATAAGAACTTATTTAGATTAATCACTGTACATACTATAATCCCACAGCAGTATGTTATAAATATGATGTTTATAAAAGGGTGAAAATGACATTTGAAAAGCGGGAGCGCTGCCTGGAGCAAAACTAGAGCTCGGCATTAAATAACGAGTAGAAGTTTGTCATTAATAAAGGCGTGATTATTGAGTTGAAATGTGTGTCTTTGTAGTCCATGTATGCACTTTAACGTGAACATTTGTGTAGTTTAGTTTAATTGTGTGTTTACATCTTTAGTTTTTAGCAGGGTTAGCCACCAGCTAACAAACCAAAGGGATTCAGGTTGAAGTGTTGCTCATGATGTCTCCGCTCTCTCTCTCTCTCTCTCTCTCTCCTTTTTTCAGATAAACTAGTGTCGAAATGGCAAAGTCCAAGAACCACACCACCCACAACCAATGTGAGTATGACTGCTTTATGCTGTACTAACTGGAATTGTCAGTTATTTGTCCATATCTTTAGATAGTTGTAAATGTTTGTATAGTTTGACAATGGTGAGGTTGTTTGGTGTTGGACTAATAAAGGCTCTATGGTAACTCTTTTTGTCCTCCACAGCTCGTAAAGCCCACAGGAATGGCATCAAGAAGCCCAGATCCAACCGCTACGAGTCATTGAAGGGGGTAGGTATCAGTCTGTCTGGAGAGATTTGTTACACCTGGAAACAGTAAAAGCATGTGCATGGGTTGCCCCTTCACAAGTGAGCATCAGTGACAGTTTTTAGAAATTTACAGGACAGTGTGATTCTGAAACTGTCCAAAGTTTTATTCTGCAGAAAAAATTCCTGTTAGACAGCAGGGTCAGTCTCAGTGGGCAAGATGTGATGCAAACTTGAAGGCATATTCTGACATAAAATTAATTTAGGGTCAAACACACCATAACATAGAGTTAGACACCACCTCTTCATGGAAATGCAATCAGATCTCGATGCTAAGGCAGAAGGACTGCTGTGTCTGCAGTGCAAAATGATTAATATGATACTTCAAAGAAATGATAAAGAAATGATCATAAATGTTCTTCCTTGAGCTGAGTCACCCCGCAGCAGTCCATAATGGACTAGCCCAAAGTCTCGCTATGAACTAGTGGCTGCTGGAAGTGATTAGGTGAGTTGTGTTTAGTCTCTTAGCAAAAGAAACTAAAGCTGTTTGGTGGCTAGTACTATGACTAGGACCCTATATGTACTGTTGATGAAGTTAGGTGCTGCTCTAATCATTATTTGTGGCTATAGAGTGGCGTTTTGGTTGAGGTTTGTTTATGGCTCTTCAGACCGCTGTGTATTGCTATCCTGCAGTTGTTACTAAAGTTGGTATAACTAGAGTAGCAAGCGGGCGGCAACATTCATCTCTCGAGGGGGTGTGTCTAACTCTGTGTTACGGTGTGTTTGACCCAAACTTTATTTTATGTTGGAATTTCCCTTTTCCCAGTTTTAAAAGATATCCAGGGTGGTAGGCAAAGTAACCAAATCTGACATTGCAGCAGTATTTTCTTGTATATTGTCACTGTTGAGAGCCTGCAGCGGTCCAATCAATTGTGCAGTGGGTGCAGGATACAAAAGCATTATCCCTTACCAACTCATGTGCAGTGAGTTTTTCTCTGTTTTACCTGCTGGGTGCACACCTGTTGTTCTCGCTTTGTCTCAATGTAGGAATTTTTCCAATTGTGTAAACACATGCAACAGTTTCGTGAATGCATGAAAAGGTTGATACTCTGAGGAATTAAAAATACTTGACACACATGCATTGTTCTGGTGACAATTTCCCACCATTTTCTGGGCGGGTGGGATGTGTATATGTGTATTATTTCAAACCAACTTTAGGTGGACTCTTTGATCGCCATTTTGTAGTCCATAAAGCCACCTTGATTCCATTGAAAGTTGGGGTACGCTGAAGTGTGAAAATAGCAGGTAATGTCCTGGACTGGAGTATCCATTCTTGGCAGGTTTAGGATGTTGTTCATGATGAGTCAAGTCTGACGGGTTAATTTTCTTGATCATCTCTTTTTTCTAAACTTTTCACACTGCTTTATAGAGTGTACTTGACATACAATCTCTTGCTGAATGCAAATATGTAAACTGAATTCAGGAAAATATCAGGCCTGAATGATTAATTGTCAAAAAGAACTGTTGGAAGTTTATGTGTGAAAGGGGCTGAAGTGTTAGGTTCCTCTTTTGGGAAATTTCATGGGAGTACACACTGAAGATATTCGGCTTTTTATTCATTTTATTTCAGGTGCGATTCTAAGAGTTTCTTCTTCGTTGCGCAGCTGTTGATGTTTATTGCCCCACTTGATGGTAGATCAAGACACGGACTTCACTAAGCTTTTGTAAATTGTGCAGAAAGGTGTAAAGAGGGAAAGGGTTCCTCTGTGTTTGTGTGTATATGTGGTGCAGAACTCTTGTGGAAAGCCTTGTCTGGAGAACAATGCAAGTTGTGTTGGCTGTGACTTTAAAGTTTAGAAATCCTAATGGATGTTCAAACAGCTTTTTGCTCAAACTATCATCACCAGATTTATACGAACATAAAAGAACTAGTTTTGAACAGAAAGGAAAAATAACTGGTGAAAGGTGTCGGAACTGGAGTTGAAGCAGTGGTGGTGTTAATGGTCCACTTCTTTTGAGCGGTTTGTGATTTTTGATCATTTTGTTTGCTGAGAATAGACTGTTGTTACTTCTGTCCCACCTGCTCACTTTTCTTATATTATTCTGTCTTTCAGGTGGATCCTAAGTTCCTGAGGAATATGCGCTTTGCTAAGAAGCACAACAGCAAGGGCTTGAAGGCAGCGAGGAAGGCCGCAGCAGCAGCAGCGGCGGCAGCAGCACCACCAGCAGTTGAAACAAAATAAGCTGCAAACCTTTCTCCCCTAAATCTGCCTGTGTTCCCCTTTTCCACCATCACAATAAAGCTATGCTTTGTTGACAAACCAACATGTGCTTCTCCACTTCTCATTGAAAGTCTTTTTGTAAAATCTGCTCTGAATCACTGTTCAATGATGGAAGACCCTTCAGACAAAAATGATGAACAGGTTCTCATTTAAAAAGTGATCTAGAAAAACAGAAATGTCCTGTAGTTAACGTGGTGAGTTTTCTTTCAAATGAAGTATGTACAAACAAGATAAAAAAAAAAAAAGGTCAGACAGGCAAAAAAAAGCTTTTATAGGTAGTTGTGTAATTTGCTTGTTTACTATTTTTCAGTGGAAAAAATCTCTGTTATTAAGGCTACTTTTGCATTTGAAATAAAAAACTAAAACTTCCTTCACATAGTTAAAAATCATAGTGTTTGCCTGTCTAATGTACATTTAAAGGTAATAAAAAAAAAAAAAGATATACCTTTATTAGGCCCACGGGGGAAATGCCAAAATTACAGCAGCATAAATACAGATACAAAAAGAGATATTAAAGGATAAAGAAACCAAGAGTTAAAGATAAGTACATGAGTCATATGTATGTGTGTGTGTATTTATATAGATATGTATGTATGTGTGTATATATATATATATATATATATATATATATATATATATATATATATATATATATATGTGTGTGTGTGTGTGTGTGTATACACACACATACACATATATTTCAAATATATATATATATATATTTCTTTTTTTTTTTTGAAAGTGGGCAGACTTAAGGAAACTACAATGTTTAAAAATTTAAGATCCACACAAACCTGTAAACTACAAACTGAACATTTTTCTACAGGGGTCTGCATCTTGGTTGGGCCAAAAGAACTTTATACTATATACTATTTATGTATAGTATGTAGTATAACATAAAATAGTATAATATTAATATATTTTATGCTATATACTATAATATACTTTTATAAGACAGACCAGACGACCAGATGGTAAGTGAAAAAACATTGGATCATTTGCTTTTTGATTGTTTTGTTTTGTTTTGTTTTTTGTTGTTAGAGTTCCTTTGCTTTTGCCTGTATGTCAAAGCCCTTTCAAATCTCTGCTTTAAAGGTTAGATAATGCAAATTAAAAATATCAAGTGTATTGAAGGACTACAGTGGATCATCACTGTATTTTTAGGACGGTGATTACTGTCAGTGTGAGCACTTATAACTTTTTGCTAAATGTATATTCAGACATTTATTAGTGACGTAGAATAAACTAAAAAACGGTCGTAAAAATTATTTTAGACAAATTAATTTAAAAAAAAACCTCTTTTTTTTAAAATTTCGGTCATCCTAAATAATGCAATACAACGCAACGGCCAGCGTCATGTCGTCACATCCGCTCACGTCGTCTCCGACTTGCATCATTTCTTGTCTGTCTTGCCTGCCGGGAGCAGACAACATGTGAGTATATCCATTGAGAATTATCACCCTCGCTGAAAAGGACAGATTAAATTCACGCTCTCCTGAACACCCGCTACTATCCGTGAAGGCTAACACCGCTGCCTTAAACAAACTTTGTTGTCTGTTAAACTCAGAGCTGAACTAGTTAACTGAAGCAACAACCGGCTAGCTTAACCTGCTAACTCACAACAAGGAGGCGTCATTGCTGAGCTCTCAGTGTTACAAAAAGTGTCTGATGGGACTTTTGTAACTAGTGAGGGGACAGTTTGTACTTATGCATGTTCAACGTAAAGATGTCGTATTAGAAGTTACTTATGCACCAGGAATAATAAAGGAACTGTGTGAACTCTGACAGCTCTGACAGATTTTAAGGAGGCTAAACTGTGAAGGAGAAGATCCAAGATTAGCTGAAGAGGCAAGAAGCCAAAATGGGAAAAGAGCACAATTTAAAACTCCCACTGGCTCATTTAAAACTCTGTAATTTATTCTAATTCAAACAAATTACACGAGTGTGAAGTCACAGTGAGATGGAGTTTGCCATTTGTCTTTAACATAAATGAATGAAGGATTCCCAGAGAGCCCCCAAAGTAACAGGTTCATTATCTGATTTCTCTGAGTTTAACATTCATGTTCTGTGGTTTTTGCAGACGCCATGGTCGAGCCAGTCCCCGAGTCCATCAACTTTCCCTCTGAGGAGGAGAAGATCCTGCAGATGTGGAAAGACAAAGACTGCTTCCAGGAGTGTCTGAAACAGTCCAGGAACAGGCCCAAGTACAAAAACTCTTTCTGCAAAACAAATATTAATATTTTTCTCACAAAATATACTCAGGTGTAATACAGTAAAACCTTTTAACTTAAGACAGCTGGATGTAATTTTCTTTTGTGTACCTGTTTTTGCCTGTTACTAATATTGGAAACTACTTAATCTGCAACATAAACATGAAACTATCTGTTGAAGAGGCACCAGGTTATATATCCGTAAAAATAAATCCTATTGTCACCACAGTTTTCATGTTGTATCTTGTGTTAGTGTCAGAGGTGAAAGATTGTACATGATAATTATCATTCCAGCTGTTGGATGCCAAGTTAAAAAGCTGCACTTCCTGGCTAACCAGTTGTTGTTTGACTACATTATGTACTTTCATATGTCAATCTTTATGATTGTCAGTACTTAAATATCATGTAAAGCCATGATAAGGGTTAACACATTTGAAGAAACAAGATGAATCTGTTTAGTTTCATCTTGTATCTCAATTATAGATTATTTAAAAGGTTTAAAAGCTTTTCTCTTGTGGTTATTGGCTGTTTTCATACTTAAAGGCTGTCAATTGAAAACCTTTTAAAAATTACAGACTAGCCTTTAAATCTTCAGCTTCTCCCCCAAATTATAGCGACAGGATGATGGTTTCTAAATCAAACAACATGGAGTGAGGGGAGGTTTGGTAAGAAGCAAACCTTGTACACTAACATTTCCTGATAGAGGTAAAATAGATGTGATTGTTTAGCTGCACAACTAGGAGACAACCCTCACTGTCAACACAAGCATCACTATAAAGATACTAGCTAGTTTAATGATGAAACTCAATGTTTCTGTCCATATTTACTCTAAATAGATAAAAGGTAGTGAAATGCTCTTACTTTCCTCAGGTACACCTTTTATGATGGCCCTCCTTTTGCCACTGGCCTTCCCCACTATGGTCACATCCTAGCCGGCACCATCAAGGACATCGTCACCCGTTTTGCTCACCAGAGTGGCTTCCATGTGGATCGGCGCTTTGGATGGGATTGTCATGGTCTGCCTGTGGTAAGAATTTACTGTCCTGCTTCTTCTAAAAATAGTCATTGTATTGAAAGTTTTGATGTAGATCTACAGATTTTTTTCCCCCTATTTTTCTGTTTTTGTAGGAGTATGAGATTGATAAGACTCTGGGGATCAAAGGCCCTGAAGATGTCGCAAAAATGGGAATTGCTGAGTACAACAAGCAGTGCAGACAAATCGTCATGAGATACTCCAATGAGTGGGAGGTGAGCAAATATAAAAGAGCTCAGTGATATTTGTCAACAATTACTGTTCATAAAAAGTGCATTGAGTGTACTCCAATACAAACTGAATCTGCTCTACACATAAATCTTTCATGTGCAGAACATGAGTTTAATTTTAGATCATTTTTACAGACGTACCCAAAATCAGGGGCCTCTGCAGAATCTTGGTTCAGGATAATGATGTTGTTTTGATTTTCTAAGTGTATGTCTCTTATATTCTCAGACCTCCGTGACTCGAATGGGAAGGTGGATTGATTTCAGAAATGACTACAAGACTCTGTACCCTTGGTTCATGGAGACTGTCTGGTATGAAAGTCAGATTTTCTGTGTGACAAGTTTTGGCTCAAAGACACTTACATAATGTGCATTTCACTTAATTACATTCAGGCTCCATCTAATGTACTTAAAGCACAAAGTCATTTTCATCAGAGACCCTCGTGGATTTTGCTGAATCATTTCTTCAACTTTAACTTGATTACTATCCTGAGGGAAATTGTTGCAATACGACAATGTCAATGAAAAACAACCAAATCTACTTAAAGTAAAACACTAAAAGCACTATATGATATGAAATGTAATAGAAGCTAAAGTGAATCTGTCTGGGTCAGTCCCTTTGTGTGCAGCTGTCTGTCTCTCCTTCTTCTTGATCTGTTTTTTCATCTGTCCTCTCTGACTTTAGGTGGGTGTTCAAACAGCTGTATGACAAAGGTCTGGTTTACCGAGGTGTCAAAGTCATGCCTTTCTCCACTGCCTGTAACACCCCCCTGTCCAACTTTGAGTCCCATCAAAACTACAAGGTTTGCATAAATCACAACCCTCGTGACAAAACGATCATACGTCGGTGTATAAATGTTAAACTCGATCAATCTTTGTTCCACTTTTGCCTCCAGGATGTTCAGGACCCATCTGTGATCGTCAACTTCCCATTGGTTGAGAACGAGGAAGTGGCTTTGATCGCCTGGACGACCACACCCTGGACACTGCCGAGCAACCTGGCACTCTGTGTTAACCCCGAGTTCATATATGTCAAAGTCAAAGGTAAGAGAATACTATGAGTGTGGTGTATATGACCTTTATAAATGCCACATGTAGACCTTCGTGTATCCACCCTCCAGGTTTATAAACAGCCTCCACAGTTAATAAGTCAATGTTTGATGTTTTTATTTTCTTTCTTCTGAAAAAACAACTTATCTGTAGTCTGTTGACTAGTAACTTTAATGCTCCACATTCTTCGAAGAGATGGACGGACCAAAACCAACAAGACTGGTTGTGATCTCCTGTCCAATATTAGACTTGCTTGTGTTGTTTGGTATCATGTTGATTTTGCTAGCTGGATGAGGCACAGTTTGTTAATTTAAGTAGTTAGTGACTTAAAACAAACAAGTGCGGATTACTCAATAAAAATCATGACAATTTACTATAAATGAGATATTCTCATTAGACAGATAACCATCCTGCAGTCATGATGTGGTAAACACAACCTCAATGACCTCAGCATGCTTAATTCTTATAGCAGCATTTAATCTGGATATTTCAATGTTTATACCAAACAATGCTGAAACTTTTCTCCTCTCTCTCTCTCTCATAACTCTCATTACATAACCATGGCAACAAATAGGGGCTAAACATTACCACTGTTATCCCACAGTCTGTTGTAGTCTGTAAACTTGGCTGTACAAAACAAACACCATTAAACAGCGCTGTGTTGTCAGAAGAAACTGAAGATCTAGACTCTTAACACTCACCCCTCCCGGTTTGATTTATCTATCTAACAAAATCGTCAAACTTCTGCTGTTGTAAGTTTTTTCTTTTTCAAACACAGGCTAAATTACATGAGAATTACTTTCTGATTGTTTGTAGATATTATTAAAATGCACTGAGGCTCATCGTAATTCGAGGGCCTTTAAACACAAGTTTTAGAATTATGGCTCAAAGATAAATTATTGTTTAAGATATATCGTCAGAAAAATCCTCCATGATAAATATTTGCCATCTTATGATAAATATGATAAATGCAAGTTGATGACGTAAGCGGGAGTGACGGACTGGCAGCCGTAGCCCACACAGATCAGAATAACAAACAAACATGGCCGAAGGTGATAAAGAAGACGTTTATGTCATTAGTTTTCTCCATAACCTATCACTTAAACTTGACGTTAAGTATCTTATTTGACTACTCCAAGTGGTGTTCCCAAGACAAAATGAGTCAAAAATATTGACTGGAATTATATTTTTTATCAGGACTTTTATCGTTATCGCCAGAATGGCAAATCTTATCGTGTTTGTTTGTTTGTTTTATCCCATATTGCCCATCCCTAATAGCTAAGTTTTATTGTGAGCGACTTTATTTTCTTTTACTAGACTTGTGATCCGTTACCCTCCAATATTCCAGAGTGAAAATGATACAAACATAGAATGACACAGAACTTGATGTGTTTTCTGGAATAATGGAAAAGCTTTGGCTGACCAACAATCCCAAATGTCCTCACTGGGGCTGGAGGTTTATCTGCGACGTGTCTCGGTCTGAAATGTTTTCCCCACTCATAGTTGTTCCCAATGTTCTCTTGTGGTCGGTTTATTTTAATCTTCATGTCAGGAAACACCATTATCTTCTGCTGTTGTCTGTACTTTCCTCATGTCCTCGTGGGGAAAACAGAGAAATATCTGCTCTTACATCCTGTCCACAAACATGTTTGTGTTGTGGATTGCCTGGGTTACCAGGATTGGTTGTTTTTTTGTGGAACAGTGTTGTTTAAATGCTGCAGCCTAGGGCCAAAATTTCTGTAAAAAATCTTGTTTCTCTTGTGGATTTAATGTTGTGGTCTGCAGTATCAGCTGTGGTGTTTTTATTCGGAAAGAACAAACAGGAACAAATTAACACAAGAGGGGGAGTGCTGCCATTGCATTTTGCACCCAAAGGAAAGGATCTCTGTCCTGTAATGTGTTGGTGGACTCTCCAGCCTTTGGCTGTGTGTTAGCTGATGAAATAAGAAAAGGGACTCTCTGTGACTGTAATATTGTGCTTATCTACCACAAACCAGCACTTAACTTTCATAAGAAGTAACTCAGTGCCAAGGCAACAGACTTACATGTCATCACAGTAAAATGCGGATGATAGCAGATGTTATGAAAAGGGGCTTTGTAAAGTAAGACTGATTGGAAAAAGGGTTTACAGGTTGATTGGCCATCCAGTTAAAAAAAATCCAAAAGATATGTTTTATCTCAGTCATCGTCTCCGTGACTGACACTTGACATTATAGCAAATGATAGGATAGGGCTGGGCGATAAAAGGAAAATTTACCGATACCGAAATTTATGACAATAACTGACATCATTTTGCCCATGTCGGTTTATTCAGCGTCAAAAAATAAATCAAAGTTGGTTCTGGATGTGTGTAGGTAGGCTATGGTCTCGTGTCTCTTTTAAAACGCTGTCCTACGTTGGAGATGTGACTCCACCCCATCCAGTCCAACAAAGAGGTAAAGACAGGTGAGGAGATGGAGGACGGTTCAAAAGTTGTAGCGGCTGGAGCGGTGACTAAAGTAGACAAAGTTAATATGGGAGGGGTTCAGCAGCTTGTGGAGTAGTTATTGTCCATTTATCGTTATTCAGGTGAACTGCTCAATACATCGTGATATTGATTTGAGGCCATATCGCCCAGACCTATGATAGGACCTGTCTGTAATGTTCAAATTCACTTAGTTAAATCTTCCTCTTTTAGAGCCACTCTGCTGTTTGGGATAAAGTCTTCCTTTAAAGTCTGTTTTTGTATAAACCATTGCTGCAGCTACAATAAAGTCTTATGCACTTGCCCTGCAATAAATCAAGAGTATTAACTTGAATTAGTAGGAAATAAATGTGAGAGATTCACAATTAATTTAGATGAAAAATGAATTGTATCAAAATGCAGAGTCACACTTGCAGTCTAGCAGCTCTTGCAATTTAGATTTCTGCTATACTGCAGTATTCAATCGATCAGTCAATCAAATTTTATTTATATAGTGCCAAATCACAACAGTTGTTATCCCAAGATGCTTTCCAAAAAAAGAGCAGGTCTGGACCACGCTCATTGTTTGATAAATTACTAAGACCCAACCTTAAGATGGGATAGATTTGACCCATCTCATCTAACATGAGTGACAGTGGCAAGGAAACACTTCCTTTTAATAGGTAGAAACCTCAAGCAGGACCTGACTCATGTTAGACAGCCACCTGTTGGGGAGAAATACACAGAGAGATAGGGAGGGAGAGAGAGAGAGACAGGAGACAGCAACATTAAAAACAACAACAACAACAGCTCACACAGAGTTCCGGTTGCAGAGCAAGTAATAATGGAGGAATATGAGTTTAATGTTGCACGTATCCCAATGATTTTGTGAGTTTATCATCAGTAAGAACAAAATGCATCATGCAGAATCGTTAACACCGCTAAACTTGATCATATCTTTATTAAAACACTGTACAGTTATGTTTCAATCCAACCCGTTTGCTATGCGATGCAGTCCACATTGACACTGACTCTGTTGCATTAATATCACTCAGTTTGGCATGAATCGGCATGTGCAAAGGTTGAATGAGAATTTAAGCTATCCTTGTTTTTATTATCAAAAATGTAACTCTACCTCCTGCCAAAAATGTCAATAAAAACCAGGAGAGTGAGACTGAATCCTCCAGTTTCGTTCATGTGTGTTGCTCAGGCATGAGGATTGTGGGTGAAGATTAAAATCAGGTCACTTTAAAAAGTGTCGTCCTTGTTGAAACATATAAAAAAACTGAAAACCCTCCAGAGAGGTGGCTCGTGTTTTTGTGTTACCCTTCTGCTGTAGTTTTTGGTTTCCTGTGATGAGAGAAAACTGGTGGGTTTTTAAAAAAGAGTGACCTAGATTCACACCACTTTGTCATGGCTTATTTCGTCCTGTGGGGGGCACTGTTGAAGCACAAGCTGCCAACCTGACTGCACCGCCTGTGCTGTGCTGCATGGGAGACCGCCTCAGAATACCAATGACTGTTTTTTTTTTTTTTTCTGTATCAGCTCAGTCTCCCTCTCTCTCTTTTTTTTTTTTATCTTCCGTCCTCTTTTACTCTATCCCCCCGTCTCATTTTCAAAATGCTCTCTTTACCTCCACATCCACCTGTTTTTGTCCTTCGTTGGGCTTATTTTTCCCCCGCTCTGTCTCTTTTTGTGTCTGTCTTCATTCCCTCGCTGCTTCTGTCGCTGTTTGAGTCGAAAGCTGTCAGCAGCGGCAGCAGCAGCAGGTCTGAGCCGTGCAGTCATTTGTCACACCACTGAGGGGAAGACAGAAACATCTTTTATTGATGCCCCCCTCTCTCTCTCTCTCTTTTCTTTTTTGTGTCTCACTGTCATAGGCCATTTGGTTTTTGCCTTCCTCGCAACTGTTGGCCCCGCCGCTCTCTTATCTTTCCTCTATTCCCCCTTTGGCCAGTTTTCCAGGAGGGTTCGGTTTCCCAAAAATGTCAGGCAGTTATCCTCCATGAGGCTGCAACTTTTCACTGAGCTCTGCTGTTACCTACCATCATGGTGGGATCCTTACCTGACCTTGACTTCATAGCTTGGTGTATTATTGTGAAGCAGGACTTGACATTGAGGTTTAGCAGACTTGCATCCACCCATTAGATGCCTGGGCTTATACCGTGTTTAATGAGGTGCTGTTTATCACTCTGATATACAGTCGATAAGCATAAACCTTGCTGCAGGGACTGTTTAGATGGCAGAAAAAATCATTTTACAGCATATTGATCCATATTTTTATTCCCCCTTCACCTGTTTTCACTGCCACTTTAGCAGCCTGTAAATAAAAGAAGCAACTAAAATACAAACACTTTGATTTTGCCGGGTTTTATCCACCTCTAACGAAGCTTCATGTTCTTCTTTCTGTTGCATTTGCCCTTAAGTGGTATGTTTATCAAGTCTGAACTAGACTCTCTGAAGCAGCTTTGGGTAAATGACATGTTTACGTTTATTCAATACACATGCCTGGCAGCAAAGTGTCATTCAAAGTATGTCTGTGTTTTTCACCCTTCAGATAATGCGACAGACAAGACCTACATAATGATGGAGGCCAGACTGGGAGCTCTGTTCAAGTCAGAGAGCGAGTTCACTCTACTGGACAAGTAAGTACACAAATAAAGGATAATGCATGAAGAGGGAGCTGGTTTAAAGAGTGGGCGAGCTATGACAACCTGCTCACTCTGTATTATCTGACATATTAACCAACAAAGGGGTTGACTCCAAATATTAACCTCAAGATGATTTAAATAGCGCTTCTGGATCAACAGTGTTGTTCTTATCAGGCTGTTTGCAGATTGATTTAAAGCTCCTGTTAGATCACTGATGACAAGTTTAACAATCTCTATATTGTATTTTTCCAGATTTCTTTAGTGAGTTTCTTCAGACAGTTCAGACTTGTACAACAATTTAACAATACGCAAGAGCATCTGCCTTACGCCTAATTTCCACCACATGTGGAACGGCGGCGAAAAGGCCTTAAGCGCAATTGCTGCTGATCGTTTCCATTCAATTTCCACCGGCTTCTTTCCGGCCCCCCTGCGGTTCAGCGGGCTTCGTAGCCAATTGCTGGGATTCTATTTTTTCCGGACGCTGGAATATGCCACATAAATTCAGCACAGATTAACCCGTGCTGGAAAGGAAATCGTCACAGACACTAAATAAAACATTCAGCTTCTGTTTAAAATAAAACACTTAATATTTCAGGTGGCTTGTATTTCACACCATGCAAATGGGTGGGTGGGGACCAAGTCAAAGGTTGAGGAGATGCTGATTCTAGAAGCCTAAAATCACTTTGTCCACAGGGGGCGCCAAAGTACACAGACAGAAAGTTCCTCACAGGAGCTTTAATGTTAAACTAGACTTTTACCTGCTGATAGGAGTCTGATTTCATCATTTAAATCCTTACACCACTTTAATTAATTGTCAGCAAACGATTAACTAAAGATGTTTAAATAATGGTAACAACCTTTAGCGTATCAACCTTGAGAAAAACATTATGAAATTCGTTGATGTTCCTAGAAAACAAATTAAGGTCTATCAACAACAAATATTATGAACACACTTAACCTGCCCTCTGTCTCTAACGACACCATTTATTAAAATAACAGACAGATGATTAACTCTTTGTGTGTTTAGGGGACGACCTTAAGTGTCCTCCGAGAGTGTTTCTCTAATAAATGGACAGATCAACTCACTAACTCTAACTCTTTCCATGGTTTGGGGGGAAATGGAAAAAAAAATATTGTGGGGGGATGCAGAACCTATTTCAAGGTGATACCAAAGTAGTTTATGAAGTAAAATCCCACTGTGACCCCTCAGGGACTCTGTGGAAATTGAAAAGTAGGTGGGGAGAGGAAAATAGGATTTTAAAAAGTGACCCTTAGACCCCGAGAAAGCTGACTTCCCTAAAGCATCATATTAATCAACCTTTTTTTGTCAGTGTTTTCTCTGTCTGAGAAAACAAACAAACAAACAATGTATTTAAACATGTACGTCCTCATAATTTTGAGCTTCTTAAGCTAGTCTTTGCAGGAGAGGTGAATGACAGATGTGGAATAAAGGAAATAATGTTTTTATGTGTTTTCAGATTTCCTGGTAAGACGCTGAAAGGAAAGAAGTACAAGCCTCTGTTCCAGTACTTCTCCAAGGTTTGTAGTCTTTGTGTTCTTGTTCTTGTACATATAACTTTCTTTAGCCTCAAAATAAAGACCTCTCATGTCTCACTTTAATTACCTGTCGGACCACAAATTGACATCCAAGTTCACGGTCACTGAATCTTGCTTGTGTACTCTCTCAATGTCTTCGGCTATTGCTCCTTCAATAAGCCTTCTTCGCTCTCACTCTTGTCTTCCTCGTTTCTCTCCAGTGTGGGGAGAAAGGAGCGTTCCAGGTGGTGACTGATAACTATGTCAAGGAGGAGGAGGGTACAGGAGTGGTCCACCAGGCACCGTACTTTGGAGCTGTGAGTGTTATCGTCTACTGTAACTGGTGTGTTGTACTTGTGTGTTTCGCTGCACTAGGTTCTTACATGAAGCCAGTTAAAGGCAGGGTAATTAGACTACCGTATTTTCCGCACTATAAGGCGCACCTAAAAACCTCCAATTTTCTCAAAAGCTGACAGTGCGCCTTATAATCCGGTGCGCCTTATATATGGACCAATATTGAGCCACAACAGGTCTCGCAACTACGGTAAGCAGCCGCCGACTTCATTTTCCCCCGTAGAAGAAGAAGCGCGCGGTGCATGCTGGGATATATGACTGCGCGAGGCGTGCCGTTTCATTTCTATTTGTGTGTTTATGTAAAGACCCCAAAATGGCTCCTTAAACAGCTGTTTATTCATTTTGGGAGTGAACGGAGTTGTTAGAACGCTGGTTTGTAATCTATTAATAAAGTTTGACTGACCTATCTGACTGTTTTGTTGACATTCCCTTTAGCGCAGCTCCATCTAATGGATGCATAACGTAACCCCAGCCTCCACTGTAGCGTCTTTTCTATGCGCCTTATAATGCGGTGCGCCTTATATATGAACAAAGTTTTAAAATAGGCCATTCATTGAAGGTGCGCCTTATAATCCGGTGCGCCTTATAGTGCGGAAAATACGGTATTTTTAGGCCTTCTCAGGAATTTTCTAACTATTCAAGTCAAACAGGAAAACAGATAAACTCATTTAAAATGAGCGAAAAACTCAACAGTGGTATATTATGCAGTTGTGGAGTTTAGAGGGAGGATTTCATTTTGGTGCTGTTTGAAACTTTGCAGTAAAATTTGTCGAACCTTGAGTTGCAGTGTCCTTGCTCATAGTTACTAACTGGCTTCTATTTTCTTCATCATTATAAGTAAAATTTGTCCGTTACATTCCCCAGCATGCTTTAAAAAAATCTCTCAAACATTTAGTTAAAAATGATCAATACAAAACCCAACATTTGCAAAGCACCAGCAAGTTAGCTTTTGGTGGGAAAGTGTATAATTTATACAGTATTTTCAAATGCTTAAGAACTCGGGTGTTTTACATAAAGCATTAAAAGCATAAACACACAAAATTTCTCACATATGATGGAAGAAAATGTACAAAAATGTAAATATATGATGATAGAAATTAACTAAAGTTGATCAGAAACTCAAGGCTGGTAGGTAGGACTCTTACGCTGACCAAGACTTTTAAAACAAGGACAAGACAAAGCTTGCTTTTCCTATATTTAGTTTTACACAGGTTTAAGTGTTCAGTGTTGGCTGAGAAAATCGTAAAGGAAAGACAGTCATCATTGTTTGTCTTTGTCTATACACAGTCTATACCGCTGATCCCGCTCCCTTCTGTCACTGTCACTTTGTCCCAGCCGCCTCTGCAGAGCTCAAAACACCCACCCGCCCTCCTCTCTCTTTAATTAAAACATTCTTTTCTTCTTGGGTGGTTTAAAACTGGAAAAGTTGGGTAATGTACTTTTGAAACGCTGCTCCTGGTAAGCTTGAGTCACAGGGCTGCAGACGCTCAAACGCCTCAGAGTTCAGTCAGTATATCTGTGCCGAGTCCAAATCCTGTGGATGGCTTCTCTGTCACCCTCGAGTGAACAAGTGCATCCAGCACTTAAGTCCTTGTTGTTTGTCTCAATGCATTTATGTTCCTTTTCTGTATTTGTTTATGCTGTCTGAATTTGCAGAGGCTTTTTATTTTGACAGAGTGATTAACATGGTTTCATCTGCATGGTCCTTTGGGTGCCTCGGCTATTTCACATCCAGACTCTGTTTACTGGGGTTAACACATAAGATTTAAGTTTATGTGCCCCACTCCTCAAGAAACGTTCATTACAAACTTTTACAGCAATAAAATTATTGATAATCACTGATTTATCTTGTTGCCAAGGGCTCGACAATCCAACCATTTCACTCACATTTGCGACTAAAAATAGATAAAGTAGATTGATAAAATAAAGTTAGTTTTAGGTTGGATATTGGACGGACATTCACTGCAGATCTACTGGTGTCTTCTCACTCTCCATAACCGGGAATGGCAACAGCAGCGTGGTTAAATCTACTCTGCACCCTCGCTGTCAACGTCAGGTGTTGAATAAGGGACCGTCAATTAATTACCGGTTGATGTTTTAAAAAAAGGCTGTTTTCCTTCAATAGCTTCCATGTCATGTAACCAATTGAACTTAAATTAATTTCAAATAATAGTACTAAGGTCGGACAATAAGACACACCTCTTTTTTTCCCTAATTTGTCCTCTAAAATTTTTGTGTTAAATTCAAAGGCAACTTTGAGCATTTTCTTCAATAGCTTCCAATGTCATGTGACCAATTAACCTTAAAATTGATTTCAAATCTTCCATTTTATCATGGAAAACACATTATTTGATCAATTTTCATTGTGCCCTTAAAGTTCTTTGAGTGCTCCTTACTTTTTCAACTTAAGAGTGCATGTGCTCCTTGTGAAAAAAATTAGTGTCAAGCCTTGTTGCCAAATCTTGAAGACCCATATGGGTAAAACTATTTTTCAAGGATCTACTCTTGAATTACTTCAAATGATTGTTTCCGATTAATAAAGAAGGATGTTTTTTTTTAATCATCCACTTCTCTAAAATGATTTTAGTTGTAACGGGTGTCAATATTTTTGTGTATTAAGAAGTACTGAGGAGTATTCATGGAGTATTTGTGCATGAAACTGTGGTATCAATATACCCCCACTGTTACAAGGCCGGTGTTGAAGTGCTATCAGACCTATTGGATCATCGCTAATGGGCTAGATGCCTTTGTCAAGGGCAGATGGATACCCCTGTGGTTGTAGCCAGCTGTAGATACACACTCAGACCTTCCTCTTTCTTAGCTCTCTCCTCAGCTCTCTCAGCCTTTACAGGGCCCCTAAGTAAACCATTCACATCAATACTTCACCTACATTTACATTCAGATGTTACTTTCAAGTTTGTTTACACGTCTATTATTTAGTGATCACATGGATTAGTTGGTCGAGGACATACTCTGAAGATTTACAGTGAGGAAAAACATGTCACAGACCCACATTTTTCACATTTTATGTTGTTATGACTAGATGTGAAATGACCCCGTGAGTCATCCATCTTGGATCTTGACAGGGTGCTTGAATACAAAATACATTTACGGCTGGACAGCACTCAGATCTTTCATGCATAGATGCCACATACCAGCAGTGCTTGTTTCAACTCTGCAAAAAGTATCCAGCACAACATGGAATTTAATATGGAGTCATAACATATCTTCAAACTGGTGACAGTGGCTGCCAAAGAGCTGAGATAACTACTCATTTCTTAATACATTGTCCTCTGTATGGAGGATGAATGGATCAGTTTATTGAGAAAGTTAATTAGACTTAATAAATGTTGAAAGAGTTTTTATCATGATCTGTATGAAATATGTTTTTAAGTCTGTGATATCATACATTAGTTTGCGAGGAAGCCTTACAATGATCATGTTGAAAATGCTGACTTAACTCGCCTTTTTATCAATCTAACCAGAGGCAGAGAGGTTATCCTGAGGACAGCCTCTAGCTTGTAAGCAAATAGCTGCAGCACACCTGCCAGTTAAATCTGCCTCTAGCCTTAAATATATGAAAATACAGCAGCTGTTAAAAAAACATCCAGAAATCATCTCCTGTTGAGATATAAAATGATATTCGAATATATCAAAATGTGCGTTTTCACTGTACTTTTTCAGCAAACCTAATGACTCAATCCCATTTCTCATTCTTACTCTTCCTGTTGTTTTGGTGTGCCCCTCTGTCCTTCAGAGCAGAGTTAAAAGGGTCACGTTGAACTCTTCGACAAAAAGGGACAAACCTTCAAGACTCTGTTACACCATCTGATAAATCAATAAAGTGATGTTAGCTTGCCAGCTAGTTACAGGTACATCATTCATCAATAGGGGTGTGACTTTTCAAATCAATAAATATCGGACAAGACACAGTGATGTTTGAATCCATTTCACCCTGTCCCTCCATCACATAGGTACTGAACATTTATATCACAAATTTTTATGATTTTATGAATGGTAGCAAAACAAAAACAAGCTCGATAAGACTCAAAGTGGAAGGCTTTGATCTTGAGAGCCAATGCAGTCATGCAAAAAAACGCTGTTCCCAAGTGTCTGCTTGAGGCTAGCTGCAGAAGCACCAGAAACCACACACGCACTAATTCAAAAAAGCCAATTTAGACATATAAAGAAGAATAGTTTGGTCTGAATGACTCAGGGATCTCACAGTGCATCTGATTTGAAGATATTAAGATTGTGAGTGTGGCGAATCATAAACTCGACTAACTTGCCTAACAAACGGGCACCATGTAACAGTTTGCAAGGAGGCTGAAGGCCCAGCTTTAGTGGATTTAAGTGAAGACTTGAACTTCTAATAAAAATGATATCCCTAGTCAGTAGGGGTGGGAATCACCAGTGGCCCTACAATATGATATTATCACAATACTTGGGCCATGATACAATATTGCAATTTTTAACATTTTGCAATACAGTGAGTATTGTGATACAATATATTGTGATTTATACAATTTTTTCAACTGTTAAGCTAATTAAGCATTTGGCTTTCCTTTATGTTTGTCTTATTTACACAGTGTTTTATTTTCATGTAGCTCATCTTGCAAACCTTATATGTTTGTTGGACTAACATTCTCCTGCTCTATGATGTCACCTCTGCCAACCTCACTGGACAAACAGTTGATTTTATTTTTCTATTATGATAGATTTGACTTCATAATAGCAATTAATTTGAAAAATGGATACTTGTCAATGAGACGATACGATATATCACCAGTCAAAATATTGCGATACTAAGCTGTATCGATTCTTTTCTCCTACCCCTACTAATCAGCACTCTTGTGATCTTTTTTGGACTATAATAGTCTTAAACAACATTAAACTAAGATAATCTTATGGCTATCATAATTTCCAAATCAGGCCACAAATGGACACTCAAGGAATTACAGCTTTTTGCACTTGCTTACAAATTTCATTTTTCAGTACTGGAGGTTACAGCTGAAGGTTACCAACTGAAGTCATATGCCTCCATGCATGGCTTTTAATAATGAGTACAACCGCTAATCAGTCTCAGCTTCGATTAGACTAATTATTGTTTTTTACTTTATTCCATTAATCAACAAACTGTCCCAATCCTAGTGCGATGTTTCTGTTTTCTTTTATAATAAGTTGTTTACGAATTAACATAAATTGGATTATACAAAATCCTTCACCCGCTAAACCTCTTAAACTGTTTGTTATTCTCTCTGTAGGATGATTACAGGGTGTGCACAGAATTCAACATCATCCAGAGGGACCAGGCTCCTATCTGCCCTGTGGACGCCTCGGGCTGCTTCACTTCAGAGGTCACTGACTTCTCAGGACAGTACGTCAAAGTGAGTGACACATCAGACATTTACATGTAGATTAGGTAAGCAGACATTTCAGGCTCTTCATCTGGTGTAGAAAGCCGCTGGCTTGTTACATGGGGTGAATCCCTCAGTAGTATTGATATGTGAGTTATTTATTCTCGTCTTCTGTGCACATACTCTCTTTCTTTTTTCCCTTTTTCTGTCTTCCTCTCGAATGCATACCCTGGAGTAATTTTTGCTCTTTAATTCAAAGCATTTTTGCTGAAACCTGCCCTTACTTCTACATTATACTTTTAGGATGAAATCATTTGTTAACAAAATATAATACAAAAGCTGATTTTGTTGTGATAGTGATAGTGACAGGAAGCCTCAGATACAGCCCAGAGTACTAGGACAAGATTCAGTGAGTCTGTTGGTCCATACACTTATCTTTTGATAAATAATGAACTTCTTTCATCATAAATGTATTTATGTTAACCTTTAAAACTGTTGCAAGAACGCAAGCTACAGCTAGCAACTCTAGTTTTTAAAGGAGCAGGGATGAAATGATTTCAGGTTTTGAATTATGTGATGATAGAAAACAACAAAATGACAAATGCTTCATTTGTAAGAGTTTACCCAGTTTGTTCTCATGTGCTGTCCCTTTTACTAATGAAGTTTACTCCCTAGTTTATTTTTCAGATAATAGGTAATTTTAAATCATGTGTAATCTTCCTCTGAAATCAAACACACACTACTTCTGTGTAAGCTTAATTTGTGTCATTGTGCTGTTGCACTTTGGATACACAATGTTCACTTGACATCCAAACTAACCAAAATACTATGGCAGAAGTATCATTTTCACTTTCTCTAAGTGGGTATGGGACTGAAAATAACTGACCTGCAGCAACACAAAGGTGTAAAAAAAGAAAAAAAATTCAAAGCAAAACCTTTTGTCCAAAAAACCTGCATCTAACACTAATCAAGTGGAGGAGAGTAGGTTAACCTAAACAACAGGACTTAACAAACAGGAACAGAATATACCAGATGGACATTTCAAAAAGTAAACAAACAAACGAAACAAAAAAAAACAACACATGAACTCCCGACTGAATATCACATATCACATATAGATAAGAAATATTAATGAAAAACAAAGCTGTATATTACAAAACAGACACAAATCTATTAGGGGTGTCCTGATACAACTTTTTTACTTCTGATATGATACCGATATTGTAGCCTTCAGTATCAGCCGATATCGATATTGATCCGAAATTGGCGCAAACTTGTGCATGACAAGTCTTTTTTGTACCTTAAAGAAAAATGCTGCCACATAGGCGACATCACTCCTACTCCTCACTACTTTGTTAGTACCTTAGTACACACTGTTGTTGTGATCAGGTGGGCTCTGCATGCTGGATCAGGGCGCTGCTAGTTAGAGGTGCTAGATTGGAGTCTGGAATGAACTGCTTGTATCCGATATTTGTTTTTTGGCTGATATCAATATCGTATCGGGACAGCCCTGATATCTGTGGTCCAAGACTTTTATATAATTATGTGGCATCCTCATTAATGGTAGAGGCAAACATGTCTAAGGAAAACACCTAATGGATAGTAAATCAACTCCTCAGAACAAAGTTATGTTTGACTCCTAAAAGCACTGACTGCCTTTTTAAATTGTGAACAAAAAAATGATCTTTAGCATTTGTTCTGTTCATTTGTTTGTTCAAAGGGTTTAACCTCAGCCATTTACATAGCACTTACATGATACCTGCATCCTGCTAGCCCTCTGCAGATGTGATTAAGAAGTTATTATTTTAAGCTCATATTAGTGTCAGACGGCACTCAGACTAATGTTTTTGCTGTTTTGCATATTCTGGTATTAAAGTGGGTATTAGGGAAATAATAAAAAAACACATAAGGAAATTAAATTTCAGAGCATCCATAATACATGATACATACATAATTTAGATATATAATTTATTTTTTATTAGGAGCAAATAAAAACGTCAGTGTCAAATCACTTTCACAAAGTTGTGTGGCAAACATTCAGCTCGAGCATGTCATCAGTGTTAACCAGTGCACCGAGTGCCCTCTTCTCCTCCTCATTATCATCCCCAGTGGATAGTAAGTGAAAAATAACATGATCTGATCACTATTTCACATCCTGGCGTGAAGGCCAGGGAGTGGACTTGACCTGCCCGAGCACTAACATTACAGCGTGAGTTAATAAAGAGAATGCAGCATCAGTTCACTGAAGTCCTGTCATAATCCCCTTTTGAAATATGTTAAAACCGGGCGTGAGTTTCTAGGCAGTCCGAGACATTCTTTATAGCCGCATAAAAACTTGGATGTGAACTGAGGGCATGACAGTCTTCACTCCAGCCACACACAAGGAAGTCGAGCGAGCAGCTTTTCCTCTGTAATCGAAAAAGACAAGCCTCTACTTTAATCAATATGAGAGCTGCATCCTACACCCAGAAGAGCCTGCAGGTTAGCGGCTCAAACAGCAGGATTAGGGTTCAGAGCCCCTCGCCTTCCCGATGCCGTGGATCCTCCTATGACAGCCGTGGCCGCTCCGGTTATCGTAGCACTGCTGTCGAGTTGGGCACAGAGCTCCACCAGCAACATGCCAACGAAAAGGAGGAGATGCAGGAGCTTAACGTCAAGTTCGCAGGTTACATCGAGAAGGTCCAGGCGCTGGAGCAGAGGAACGCCGCCCTTCAAGCTGAGCTGAGTGCACTGCAGGGCCGTTACAAGGGAGGCCCCACGGGCATTGGAGAAGAATACGAGCTCAAGTTTAAGGAGTTGCGGGAGCTGATTGAGACCCTGACTAATGAGAAGGGTGCAGCTGACATCGAGCGAGGCTACATCGAGGAAGAGGTTGAAGTGTGGAGATTAAAGCTGGAGGAAGAGCTGGCTCTCAAAGAAGAGGCAGAAATGATCCTGAGAGAGTTTCGCCAGGATGTTGACAACGCTACACTTCAGAAAGCTGAGCTGGAGAAGCGCATAGAGCAACTGGTGGCCGAGATAGAGTTCCTCAAGAAGCTGCATGATGAAGAGGTGGCCGACATCATGAAGCAGATCGAGGACTCAAAGATAACAGCAGAGCTGGATGGCGATCGGCCCGACCTGGCTGCGTATCTGCGCAACATGCGTGCAGAAATCGAAGCTGTCGCCGCCCGCAATGTCCAGGAGGCTGAGAAGTGGTACAAGAGCAAGTTCGACACCCTCAAAGAGCACGCCGGCAAACACGAGGAGCAAATGAAGACCATGAAAGACGAGATCGCCACCTTCCACAACCAAGTCACAGACCTGCAGAACCAGATCGACGGGCTGAGAGCTCGTAACGCAGCCCTGGAGCAGCAGCTGGAGGATATGGAGATAGCCCACATGGATAAGGTGGGAACCCTTGAGGGTGTCATCGCTCAGCTGGAGGCCCAGCTCTGCGAAACCAAACTGGAGATGACCAAGTATCTACAAGACTACCAGGAACTGCTGCACATTAAGCTCAAGCTGGATGCGGAGATCGCCACCTATAGGAAGCTGCTGGAAGGGGAGGAGGTGCGGCTGGGGATCTCAAAAGATGCCTAAAAAGTCTGAAGGGTTGGAGACAACAACGGCAACAGGAGAAACAAGCAGAGAAGAGGAGACGATCAGCTAATTCTACTCCAGAGACTCGAGGTTCTTCCCCATCTGTCCTTAAATTCACCCTCTTTACTCCAAGGGCTGGGTATTTAACATTTAATATTCGATATTCATGCTGTTGTAGCATAGTGATAGAAAACTGTCATTCTCTAGAGTTTTTAGTAATAAAATTCAGAGAGTCTCGTGAGTAAAAGCCTTTCCAAAAAGTTTGATTCAGTCAGAAAGAATTTGATCAGAATTCTACCCTGGAAAAAAGATTTGTTGTCATGTTTCTGCATGTGAAAGTCGTAGATCCTCGGTGCCACTCAGTACTCAAAAAGTAAAAAGGTTTTATACCCAGCCCATTCCCACATTTATTATCCTACCTGACCCATTATCCTTCCATCTTTGCTCGCAATGCTTGCTGTCAAATTCGTCTTTCATTTCGACATCATTTCAAAACAATCTCCTGCTTCTCCCTTCGCCTTCCTCTAACCATCTCAACCCTGTCACTCTCTGTCATCCTCATTTCCCCTCTGATCTGGTTTTATCACAGCCCTCAGGTCTCCTCTGTCATACCCTTTTTCCTTTTACTCCTTTTCTTACAAAACTCCTTTTGAAGTCACCCTCCCTTTTCCCTGCCAAACCAAAACACACTGTTGTCTTTTATTTGCCTTTCCATTTTCTGTGAGACTGCCTCCAAAGAGCCAACTTTAGAATATCACCTTCTTTACTAACTGCAAAGACACGTTTTCTTTTTGTTTAATCAACCCAAATGAAAGCAGAAAAATATCAGGACTGTGACTAGTCTACATTTCTCTTAAATTATCCCGACTGTTACGACAAGAGAGAGAGACATGTCATGACAAATTAAACTAATGTTGCCCAACTGTAACTTAATAAAGATTGAAGTGAGTGCATACAAATCAACGCAATGATTGTTTTTCTTTCACTTGTGAGTTTCCTGTCGTGTTTTTCTCACTGCTGTACTTTTTTATCTCTCTGTCGTATCTCTTTTCCCCTTTCTGCTCCCGGTCCACCTCTTTACTCCCTTTTTAAACTCGTTTTAATTTACAAAATCTGCTGAAAACATTTCTGCCTGAGTCAGACCCATAAAACGACAATTATTTCAGCACTTTGCTTGTTGCTGGAAGAAATACTCAATGTGCCACTGAGGAATAAAATCGCTCAGCCTCGGGCTTCTGTTCGCTTTGGAATCGGTAACTCTGCTAAATCCATTACTCTTGGTGGCAAAGAGATCCTAAAAGAGTCACAAACATGTGTTAGTTACTCCGAAACATGTCAAGTGTACCTTGTTTATACTCATTTCGCCAGGTGGTAAAAAGGGTTTCTTCATCAATGGGTTGGAGAGGCAGATTCAAAGAGTCTCCAAAGCACAGGTGTTCTTTTCATGTTTTTAATGAGGCTGGGTCAGAGCATAACAACGCTGACTGTGAGCTGAGGAAGTTGAAACTCTCCCTCTCTCTACAAAGAGGTCACGACCAACAGTCTGCCGCCATGCACCTTTCAGAAAATCCATATTTATGAGCGGCATGTGAACTTCACCATTAGCTTGCTTCAGAGGGAGATGAAATAGGGTGATGGGGTACGGGGCTGATTGCATGCGGGATTGTTTGCCATAAACAATAAGCCGAATGACCAAACAGGCTATTTCTCTTTAACTATACAGTGAAATTTATCACTGCTGTGAGAGGAGATCGTGACCTTGGCTGTATATTCACCTTGTTTTTTTCTTAAAGGGTAGCATAAAGCTGGGACGTGATCTTGAGTTTTCCTATCTGAAGGAGAGTATTTTTGTTGTTGTAAGTCATAGCTGAAGATCCCAACCATAGACTGTATATAGAATGGACGCCGTCTGCCTCCTCGCTGGGTAGAGCCACCCAGAGAACAGCACCCTCGAGTGACGGGCTGCAGTATAGGTCATAGATCTGTCCTCCTCAGCAATCCCTATAGAGCTGTGCACAAACTTTAGAAATTAATTACACAGAATATATGTAACGCAGAAATACCAAGAGCTTTTTAGCTTCAAATCCGTATACTAGCGGAAGGCGGAACCAAGTTGTCTGTAGTATATAAAGTCTATGATCCTACTATAATATTATCATGCTACAGCTTCAGTCCGAAATTGTATATATTTAATAGATCATACATATTATTCAGTAGACAGTTTCCATAAAAGGTAGGGTTTGACGATGTGGAGGGAGCTTCTGTATTAACATGTCACACATCTTTAAAAGCCAATGTCACAACTTAACTATCGTTGCTAGTCTTGTTACCACTTATAGTTTCAGTTAGATTGAGATTGGCAATTATGACATGCATTCACCAGCTCTGCTGCTGCTATTGCCTGGATTGCAGGACAGGATCTCATCCCACTTTCCTATCAGAGAGAAAAAGGGTCAGGCAGCAGCCCATGGCCATAAGAAATGAAACTGATGCTTAAGATCTAAAAACTGCAGTTCCTTAAGTGTCCACTTGAGGCTGACTTCAAAAACACTGAAAGCGAAACACAAAAAAAGGTTATTTAGATATTTAAGTTTTGTAAAATTAAAGGCACAACTGACTTCACTGACAGGGTGGCACTTTGTATCTTGTGATGAGAAGCCCTGCCTCAAGTCCACCTCTTTTTCCTCATGTTAGATCGAAATAAAAGTAAGGTTTGGTCAGAATGGCCAACATGGCGACTGCTGTAGATATGTATCAGATCTCTGCTTCAGAAACCAATGGGGATCGTCATATATTATACAATCTACAGTCGGGCTCTCGTTCCTCCTCAGGCTGTTCCCACATCTGTAATGAGAACCACCTTTTTTTGCCACAGTGTAATCAGGCAGAAGTGTAAAGTAATGAGATCCTCTTCGCTTCCACCCAGACTTGATCAGTTTTGTTATCGAGTTTAGACCAATCGGAATCAATGAACACTGCAGGGAAACACCTAAACATAATCCCATGTCAAAAAATAAATATAGATTTTGAGTGAACTGTTTTGAATTTCACTCATGATGAATAATATGATGCCATGGTAACATCTTTTAGTAATTATACCACTCCGGTGCTTAATTGATAGCAGAATGTATAATCAACATTGGGCATACACACACATCCCATATTACCAGTAGCAGGAGTTAATTTATGCAGATATTTGTCATGTATGAAAAAAACATTCTGGGCAGCCGCATAATCAGAACGAATATATAGAAAAAAACAAGATTTACTGCATGAGAGAGTGTTGGTTTGGTAAATGTAGGCACTGTTTGCAAGTCTTATTTAATAATAACCTTAGTGAACAGAAAATGATGAAATGCAAAACAGCCCAAGGTCATACAGTACAGCAGAATAAAAATGTCCTTAGTGACAAAATTGCTTAAAAACTCTGATTCCACTTAAAAATTTCTGAGGATTTTTTCTTTTATTTCCATTTGATAGAAATTAATGAATGTGAAATTTGAATCATATGCAAACGTAAAATCAAATTCAGTTATTTTAATATTGGCAGAAAACCTTGAACATTGTACTGTTATATTTGCACATCTGATCAACCTGAGTATTGCGTTCATTAAACACAACTCTAAGATTTAATGTCTACTGTTTCTCTAATCATGTCCGCCATCTTCTCTGTCTTATTTCAGGATGCTGACAAGAATATCATCAAGTTGCTGAAGGAGAAAGGCCGACTGGTCAATGCCAGCAGTTTCAAGCATAGTTACCCCTTCTGCTGGAGGTGAGATGTGTGATCGTTAACAGTTTCTCTTTGTGTCTTTCACTGTTTAACCTAAAAGAAACTCTTGTTGAATAACCCCACCTGCTGCAGATCAGGGTTAAAGATTATAGATGCCAGGCCTCAAAAAGTCGTACGTATTTTCCCCTTCAACACAGGCTGCTTTATGTGGTGGTAGAAGAAACATTGCACCACAGAGAGTTCAGTCAAGTGTTTGAAAGCAGAGGTCTGATGTCCCTCGGTGTTCATGCCTCCCTGAGGAGTACCAGTGCAGGACATCAAATGAAGTGTTTGTGGTCTTTGCACTGAATCAGCTCATGAGAACAATGTCAGCGCACATACACATAACCTCTCAAGGTCCCATAACATCACATCCTAACCAACAGACAGTTGAAGACGCGCAGACACCTACTTTATAATTCACTCTCTGTCCTGGAGCAGCTGCAGGCTGACTTTGGATGTATTAATTAAGTCGGTAAAAAAGCAGAGATGTGCTCTTTGAGCCAGGAGAACACATGGTGGTAGAGATGAAACAGGCGTAAGCCATGGTGAGGGCAGACGAGCTTAGGGTGGGCAAAGTATACTGAGGAAAACCGCTTAACTGTGGTTAGGGTTCAAAGGTAAAAAGTTCAGCAGGATTCATGGATTTCTACAAATGAGGCCTCCAACCAGTAAATAAACTCATGATTATAAACGTAATGATGAAGTCAGCAGCCAAACAAGCACCTCAGGAGGTTATGTGGAGCAAAATATTAATGTCAGCAATTATATGAAGAAATGTGGTCAGTGTATGTTTATACCATATTTACCACATTTGTCCAACATGTTTGACATCTTAAACCAGATGTCTGCAGAAATGATGATACAGGGAAGGACAGTTTGTGTTAATTTTAGGGCCACTCTCAATTGTAGCCCTCAGGTTTTGCGCGTTCACGTCAAGTGAAGGGGTGTCCCAATTCTCTGTAAGGTTAAGGGTAAGGGGTACACAGACCTTGAAACGAAATACTAACCAGGACTTCACTTGATAGCAAGCAGGAAGATTTTGATAGTGATGGCACTTATATTAGCTATGCTTTGAATGGGTTGCGTTTTAAAATCGCACGTTTTGACGAGCCAACTAACAAAGCTATAGCTATTGATATATATATTGATAGGCATGACGACGTAGCGAGAATCGACGGGCGTCTCGCTTCTTAGGGGCATGTTTTCACCCCTTCCCCTTGGCCCTCAAAACAAAGGGCCGGGTAGAAGTGGTAGACAAAGGGGTAAGACAAAGGCAAAGGGGAAGGAGCGACATTTGGGATTGGCCCTTAATACAAGGGTTTTACAGTTATTAAGCAATCACTCTTAATGGTTTGCACTAATTTTATGGCAGTATATGTAAAGATGTTTTATGATTATTGGAACACAGTTTTTATGGAAGTTTATCCAATAGTTTGGGAGTATTTTAGTTGGAAACCATCGATGTAGATGAACAGAGAAACAGTGCCCCTCCCTAGTCTTTAAATTGAAAGTAAAACCTTTAAAAATAAATCATAATTTTGCTCTTTAAAACATTTCATTTAAATGTGTATTGATGTTTCATGTTGTGTGCAAATGTATTTCTAGGTCAGACACGCCCCTCATCTACAAAGCCGTCCCAAGCTGGTTTGTTCGTGTGGAGCACATGGTGGAGAAGCTTCTGGACAACAATGGAAAATGCTACTGGTAAGATTTAAAACAAGTGCTGCTTCGCTTAGTCTTCGCTCGGTGGGAGTGACATGGTGGTCATCTCACCAAACAAGTAGCTTTAAATTACCCTCTAGGCACGAGCAGTAGCGGTGGCTGTCCCAGAACGATTACTGCCGCCACTCTGCAGAACCACATCAGGTGACTCATTCTGGCTGTGGGCTTGTCCCTGCAGGAAAGCAATGTATCAATGAGCACATTAGGAGAAATGGGCTTTAAAAATGTAAGTTGTTGCAAGAATTTTCCTAATTTTTCATTAAATGGGGTCAAAATCCTCATCAAAGCATTTTACTACGATGCACGCGGGTACATTAGCATGATGCTAATTGTACCGGCAGAATGTGGAGGAAAAATTCCGCGTCAGCATGATGGCTTTGCTAAGTGGTATTACCCCTGGTGCTCCCAGTGCTCTTTTCTGAGCCACAGTAGCTGCCTCTGGTAATGGGACTGTCAAACTGAGATGAATTACTAGCCGCTAGGAGGGTGAGGACGCATAGACACACATGTTCAAACCCCACCTGCAGGAACACACACACACACACTGCTTTAAAGGTTGTATTACTTATCTGAGGGGTACTATTAAAGCATGTTATACAGCATTTTAGTGCAAGAATGTTTGTTGAAGTTCCCTACAGTGTGTCATTGCATTATTATGGGTAGAAAACGGGCCTCAGTTTATTTTTAGCTCTTTTATGATTTTATAGCAGTTTATGAACCTGTTACTTTGCCTTTTCAGGTCCTTTCAGTTCCATATACAGTGCCCATTGTAAGTCAGTACACCCCCTATTAAAAGTAATGTATTACCCAATATCTAGATGAGCAAAAGTACGATTTGACACGTTTGACAAAGCTGAGTTTAACATAACATTTTATTTACCATAAGATGAAAATAATAGTGATATGGTGACTAAAATTTAGCTTTGCTCCCAGAACTTTGATCGGGGGTGTACTCATTTTTGCTGAGCACTGTATAAAGGTTTAAAAAAGAAAAACTAAAAATTAGGGGATCTCTTTTTCACTTTATACTTAAAAATTACTTCAGTATCAAAACATATTGATTTCCTGTCGACCTATAAATAGGGCTGGGTGATATGGCCTCAAATCAATACCAGGATAACGATAAATGGACCATAACTACTCCACAAGCTGCTCACCCCCTCCCACATTAACTCCATCTACTTCTGCCGCCACTCCAGCTGCAACAACTTTTGAACCGTCCTCCTTCTCCTGGATGGGGTGGAGTCACGTCTCAGACATAGGACAGCGTCTTAAAGGGACATAGCCTACATACACACATCCAAAACCAACTTTTATTTATTTACTTTTTCGACACAGAATTTATTGACATGTGCAAAATAACGTTGGTTATTGTCATAAATTTCTGTATCGGTAAATTTTCGGTTTATCGCCCAGCCCTACCTATAAATCCATTTAAGGCGTTTGTGGTTGGTTAAACAGTTATGGTGACCACATTTGCATAAACTCTTCTTCTCCTTCTCCATCTGTTTTATTTAAGGAATCACACATATGTCTGTATCTCCTCTCTGTGCCTGTGTTGCTGAGAAGTGAGGGTGATGATCCTGAGCAGCTTTCTAATTAAGTTTATTCTCCAACCTAATTATTTAATTTATTTTCAAAGTATTTTTTTTCTCTCATTTTGATTAGACTTTCACATTTGAGTCGTGGTCCCAGGAAGATTGTCTGTCTGCCAGTGAGAGTTGCCAGCTCATCAGCAACTTAAAAAAAAAGACTCAAATCCTTGCAGGGTTCAGTACCTCTATATATCTGTCCATGTTAGCTGATGAGAGACTTAAGAGAATCCTTCAGAAAGCAAAGTGCTGGTTACCATATTCTCAAAGTGATTTGCTCATTTTATCTCTCTTTACTCTCAGGGTGCAGTGGGTAGACTCCGGCTGAGTATCTGTTGAGAGAGTTCAGACTGATTTCTCCAGATGTCTGTCTGCTTGAATAAATTAAGGACGAAATTAATGAGCGTTCTCAAGGGGAGAAGGTTTTTTAAGCCCAAAGTGCAGCAGGCTTGGTCACTGGTGCATGAAGTTTCACTTTTTGGTTGAAAGTGAGGAGGAAATGTGGAGTTGATAGATTGGTCCTGAAATGGCTCAGGGGCTGGATGAGGCAAGAATCTGGTATTTTTTACTCCCCCTAATTTGACTTCATTATTTTGTCCTTTAGTCATTGCCAGGTCATTATTGGACCTTGATTTCAGTCTTTTAATTTCAAACTCAGTTTTAAGCTGATGGTCGTAGATATAAAGAGCAGTAGCTAGATGAAATTAGTTCCTTAACATGCCTGACAAACTGTTTCTAGCTTTCTTTTTTAAATATTTCAAGCTGGGTAATTTTTAGAGTGGTCCTTAAATATTCACTCAGTAGCTGTGAACATAAAAGTGCTAAATGGCGGGGGATAAAATAGTGTCTCTCAGGCTTGCTTAACGGTTTATGATCCATTTTAAAGGAAATAAAGAAGGTTATAGTTAAATAAAGTTAACCTTATTACGTTAGGTTAAATATTGTACACGCTCTCTTTACAAACTAATGAGACAGTCAGGTTTACCTTCCTCACAAATGTACGAACAGATAAAAACAAACCGTGTTTATAGTGGACACTTTATCTGACATCCTGGTTCCATAAAAAGAAGATTGAGAACAACAAGAAATGAAATTAAGGATGTCATTTCACTGTTTCTTCATTTTCCCATCTTTCCATTTCCTCTACTTTTTTTCCTCCTATTACACACACGCTCAGTAGGTCCCCTCCCTGACCACAACCTTTGTCTCTCCATCTCCCTTTTATATCGGTCCCCAGCGTCTCTTGACTTTTAATAGAAGCGTGTACATATTAAAGGCTCCACTCTGCGTCCTGAGCACAAGATAGCACACTTTAAAGTCTACATTTAGCAAGAAGCAGGAGAAGGGAGGGTGATGGTGGAGGAGTGTTTGGGGGGAGGTGGCGAAAAAAAAAATCATTAAATTGATATATTAGGGGCCTAAATAGAAATGCCTCCTACAAATGGGAATTGATGAACTCGTTGCTTAGCGCGTGGATCCTGAAGACGATTTATACCCCTCCCTGCAATGTTCTCCTGAGCAACACGGCCAGGCACAGCAAGAGAGAGGAGGACAGGGGAAAAAATGAGAGGAAGAGGAAGTGATCACGAGATAGTGGATAAGAGCTGGAGATCAGTCGAGGCAAAATAGAAAGAGAGGAGACAAGAAAAGGAGGTGCAAAGGAGGAAGATGCCCTAAAGTGAATGTTAACCTTTGCAGTAGAGCAGCATGAGGAAAAAGGTGCAGTTTGTTTTTGGGTCTGCATGAAGCGAAGCCAGCTCAGGAAGTGAACAGTTACAGTGTAATTCACAATATATTGTTGAAACATGTCTTTACATTAAACTAATATGGTATCTTAGTATTATATCCTTGTATCGGTAAAATCGATTTATTACATTTACAAAGGATGTTAGATCGATGTCGTCTGGAAGGCCAACTTGCTGAGCACAGATCGATGTACTTGGACCATAGGAATATAAATCGATGAATCGTTACTCCCCTAAATAAAACTTTATTTTTATGTAAGTCGGGGTAAAACTTGGACTTGAACACTACAAAGTAGGGCTGAGCAACATGGCCTCAAATCAATATCACGATATATTGAGCAGTTCACCTCGATAACGATAAATGGATGATTATTACTCCACAAGCTGCTCACCCCCTCCTACATTTTACACCGTCCTCCATCTTCTCACCTGTCTTTCCCTCTTTTTTACGGACTGGATGAGGTGGAGTCACGTCTCTGATGTAGGACAGTGTCTTAAAGGGACATGAGACCATAGCCTACCTACACACATCCAAAACCAACTTTGATTTATTTATTTTTTTGACAACAAATATACTGTTATGTGCAAAATGATGTCGGTTATTGTCTTAAATTTTTGTATCAGTAAATTTTCGGTTTATCGCTCAGCCCTACACTAAAATAGTCTGAGCTAAAATAATCAGATAATTTTAACATGGTAAACTTTGTGTCTCATATTCTGGACCAGGTAGTTGTAATTCAGGAAAAAGGAAATACAACTTGACAGTGCTGTAAGGAGCTGATGGTATATGGTAGAATAATAAGGATTTAATGGAGGATATTGTTCCTCCTAATCTAGAAGTATTTTATTTAATTCCATATGACAGGAAAAAAAATCTGAACAAACTGAATCAGTGAATGTGAAACCCACTCTTTACTTCTCATATGCACATCTGTGACCAGAACACTCATCGCCTCTCTCTCTCTGCAGGGTGCCCGAGTTTGTCCGTGAGAAACGTTTCGGGAACTGGCTGAGAGACGCACGAGACTGGGCGGTCTCCAGGAACCGTTACTGGGGCACACCGATCCCGCTCTGGGTCAGCGACGACTTCGAGGAGGTCAGGAAAACATGACACACAACAACAACAACAGTCTTGTTATGCTTTAACAGGGTAGTTAATGCTTCGTGTGCGTCTTTATACTCAGCTGAGATTACACAATTTGTCTGTGTCACGACCAAATACCAAGACAGTTACTCTTTTCTTCAGCGTTGGCAGCCCTCACAAATCAATCTGGGCTGAGCATGAGAGGGCATAATTGAAAAGTTGAACTCTCCATAACTCTCACTTTTATTTACCATAAAAATGAATTTAGAAAAAAAAGTCTTGTGTCTCTCTAAAGGAAGATTAGTCTGCTGTGAGGGCTGAAGAGTTTCATAAATTGGCAGGGTGAAATTTTCTCTCGCTGACCTCGTTTTGACTCTAATATAATTTAGCATATCTGGCCCTTCTTTTGTGCGTGTGCGGGCTTGTGTAGGAGAGAGACTCTCTGGCATGGCAGAGTGATGTGACCGCAGAGTCAAACGAGAGAGTTGCGTGACTCCTTACTGCAGTGGAAGTCAGCTCCCCTCTGGCACAATTACCAAGTGCCTCCGTAAACTCGGCACATGAATGATTCATTAATGTAAACAGCAAATAAAACACACACCGAAATTTGTGTTTGGTTTCTCTTCATGCCAGTTAAGGCAACTTCAAAAGGTCCTGAAGACAAACAGCTAACAGGGGGTGAAACGGAGGAAGACACGGAAAATAAGAGGCAGAAGAGGAAAGGAATAAATTAGCTTGAGACGGAAATGAAGAAGGGCGACACGTGAGAAGGAGGGAAACGAGAGATGAAAAAAGGAAGGGGAGGAAATATAAGAGGAAAGGGACGGCGGCGAAAGAAGACAAATAGTAAATTTTTGTCTGTGTGTTGATGTTCATTTCCCAAAAAAATAACAAGCCGAGGATGGGAAGAAGACTGAACTGAATAGACGTGTCAGAATTAGGTTGTTGGAGCGTTTGAAAAATGAAGCGGCGGTCCCCTGGCTGAAAGAGGGACAGCCAGCGACCTGCTTGCTGGAAATAGCTTTGTGACTGTTTCCAGAGCACTTGCGCTCCCTGGTGCCTCCCCCACACATCCCGCGGTGCCTGATTCTCACACACACTCTCAAAACTAAAAAGCCAGGAGCATGTGTGTTGAATATCTGTCGCCGTAAAGCTTTTACCTTTTTAGTATCGCTTCTATATGTTGTACCTCTGTCCTCGTCCTTTTTTAGATGCGTCTCTTTCGCGTCTTCATCCAACCATGATGTATCAGGCTCTATCTGGGCCATGTTACCTGGTGCTGTAGGAGAACTGGAGCAAAGCCTGCAGGTTAACTCTCTGAGGAGCCCAGATAACACACTTTACAATACTTTTTAGGGTGAACTTCTTCAGGAAGTATGTTGAAACAGGCCTGGCATCACAAGTTGTGTTGTATCAACATGATTATTGCAATAAAAATCAGGATAACACCTTTGAATTAGGAGGAATTTACAACCACTAACTTCAAACCAGGCTAAGATCATTGGATTTAAAGCTCCTGAACGATGTCTTTCACTCGTATTAGAGCAGACTAAAGTTCATACTGATGCCTCTTTATCTTCTGCTGTTGGAAATGAGAACATAAATGTAGAAGCTGACTATCTCTACTTATAGTAAATCTTCATGTCTGATTTGGCTGCTGGGGGTATGAGTCAGACCAAGTGGTTCACTGCTCAAACAGACTTCATTTGACGTTTTCCTCAGCAATGGTGCTGAAAGAGTGATACATTTGACGATTAAAAGAAAGCCAGATAAGGTTTTAGTCAAAACCAGTATTTACGGCATCAAATCACCAAAGAGTCATGACTATACTTTGTCCACAGAGGGCGCCAAATTTAACATGAGCCTGAAGCCTTTTGCCGAAGCTTTGAATTATGTAAGGTTAAAGTTTCTGTAGGGAACCTTTAACTATATTTTAAAAAGTATCTTGCTTCTCCTGATATATCAGTGTCACCTGCAACAACAAATGAGCCCATGAAGAGGGAAGATAAGATATTTCTAAATAGTGTAACTCCTACTTTCAAAATTCGTCAGTCGGGACTTCCCACTGACAAAATGATTTATTGGACTTAGACAAGGACATGAGAGGAGCAGTGAATTGTTGCTAAGCTAGATAGTAAAAAACAGAGCAAAAACAAAAAGCTACACATGGCCGATGATGGGACGGGGTCCTCAAAAAGAAAACGAAGTAGAACAGAGGAACAAAAAAAGTGAAAAGGTAACGTGATCGAGTGAGGGCAAAAACCAGGATAAACATTGGTAATTCCTGCACGAGGTGGAGAGAGTTATGGGGCTTGAAGGGATACAAGTTGGATCCTGAATTTGCCCAATTCCTCTTTGACAGATAACGTAAGTTGCGCCAAGGAAAGCTGACAACTTTATATACTAATCTACAGCCGAGTTATCTAATTCATTTGTTGTAGGTTTACTGTTGCGAATGGAATGTAACTGTTAAAAATAGGCTAAAAATACAAGTCACCATTATACAACATTACTTTGTTTCACCGGTGGCATATTATACAAATACAAATACATTACCCCATCACTACATATCCTGCAGATAACAATAAAACCCCCCCAAAAAATTTTAAGTACTTCTGAAACAACTAAACGCAAGACCAAAGACCTTGTGTCTTCATGACAGTAGAGCTCATGGGAAATGCAGTCATCATTCCGGCAGAACACTATGCCTTTCGTCCATAGTGACCACCAAACGCAACAGAAAATGAAAACTCTATTCGGCAGCTTTTAAAAAAGAGGGGATCCCAGAATGAAAACTTTATAAAACCTTGTATGTTTAGAAAAATATGAAGCTTCTTTGCTTAGCTGACTATTGGAAAAAGCTGGTGCCAAGTGATGATTTTAAGTTATTTGTCTGCTCAGTTAGTAGTCAAATGACTAAAAAGAAACAAAATACAGAGGAAAAGCAGAGAAGAGCACTAAATCCTATTTTTGGTGAAGCTGAGCAAATGTTGTTTTTGTGTGTGCTTCCTCCTCCAGGTGGTGTGTGTCGGCTCCATGGCTGAACTCGAGGAGCTGTCCGGAGTCAAAGTAACTGATCTGCATCGTGAGAGGTGAGCCACTGATCCACCGCCAAGATTATCAGCCAACAACCTGAACATGAACTCAGCAGAGTGTGTCCGCTGCGATAGAGTGTTACCGTCGAATTTACACTCTTTTGATGTGGATGCTGCTTCTTCTTTTTTTTTTTTTTTTTGGGCCATATATCACCTGCCCTCTGCCTCGTGAATGTGACCGACCTGAACCAGACAGGTTGTTGAACAGGAATCACTTCACTCTTGCGCTCTTCATCAGCTCATTAGCGTTAATCACTTTCCTGGGTTGGGCCCTCTTAAATGGACGAGGGGAAAAGGTTGTCTCTGCTCTGTTCCAGGAAAAGATGGTGTTTGAATCTCTAACCGCTTCATAAACTGTTGTCACTATGCATTGCATTACTATGGCTCCCAGAGATAATCATTTTGCCTATATTGTCAGAAAAATAATGTTTTATAAAAATCTCATGCATAACTCAAAGCAGAAAAAAACATATTAAACTACTAGAAATGTGCTCAGCAGTGCACTTCTCTTTTTAGAAAAATCCTCTCTTTCCTCGATAGGCCCAGAAGCAGAGCTCTTAGGAGCAGCAGAGTGCTGCAGCAGAGCAGCTTTAGTGGCTGACAACAGATTTTTAAAGGTGTAATCTGTAGTTTATGTGCCGGAGTGCTAATAGCTCTAAAAATATGAAGCAGGTTGCGACCGGAAGGGAAGAGGCGGTAAATTTCACTCATACAGCTTTATATGAATTTATCACCTTTATGTTTTTTTTTTGGTTTGTTTCTTAAAATAGCACCAAGAAAGCATATATAAGCATGTAATCCAGATTTAGTGAGCATTTTACACAGGCTGACAGTTCGTTACGACTACATAACACAGGTTCATTTTCTTGTCCGGGTTTTGTTTTTCCTCCACTGGAGTTACTTCAATGAAAAAAACAAAAAGCAATTTTGTTCCAGGGCTGAATCTCAGTGTGTCGGTATATGAAGTAAATTAATCTTTATATCCTTGAAGCATAAAGCAATAACCAACCCTATTCTGGTGGGTGTCAGCACAACACGAGCACGGCTGTTCTTTTCAAAACCTCGTTCACAGCGGTGAGATGTTATAAAACTGCTGGTTTGGGCTGCGGCCAAAAAGCATATAGAAGTCGAAAAATCCCTGCAGCGGTGATAAAACCTAAAGTTAAACAGAAGTGGTCAAATTGTTATTGCTGCCTTATGTCTCAACTGTTTTCCTGTTAACTTTTTCTCGACCCAGCATCGACAACCTGACCATCCCATCGCGGCGCGGTAAGGGCGTGCTGCGGCGGGTCACGGAGGTGTTCGACTGCTGGTTCGAGAGCGGCAGCATGCCGTACGCCCAGGTCCACTACCCCTTTGAAAACAGGAAGGAATTTGAGGACACCTTCCCTGCAGACTTCATCGCTGAAGGCATCGACCAGACGAGAGGATGGTGAGCTGCGGATGAATGATGAGAGGCTGACAGATGAGAGAGAAAGTCATCATGACCTTCCCTTTCCAGTTTGAATGACAGGAACAAATATGCACGACTTGACGGGCAGATGAGTGTGTTTTTATTTGCCCTTTTTTTTGTTGTTGTGCTTTTACTTCATCCTACGTCAGCGAGTGACTAAACCGAGTGTTTCAGTCCAACTTGTTACCCTGACCTTTATTTTTTGCGTGTGTCCTGCTGTAGGTTCTACACCCTGCTGGTGCTCTCCACAGCTCTGTTTGGCAAACCTCCCTTCAAAAATGTCATTGTTAACGGACTCGTACTCGCCAGGTGAGACCGCTGACTTTGCAGCGAAACTCCTCTTCTTCATCTTTGTTTAATTTGCAAATAAAAGCCACTTTCTTTAAAGATTAAGGCTAACAGTAAGTCTCCCCAAATACTTTTAAATCCCCACTCTCTCCGCCTGTTGCACTCAGCCCCAGGCCCATAAAGCTGATCTTTACTGGGCTCGGATGCAGGATCAATTTGGGGGGATTTTTAACTGCAAGAAAAAAACGGATATTGCCAACCTTAACCTGTCAGTCAGTTTCAAACGTTTTCCGATTTTCTGTAGACCTCATTTCCTCTTGTCTCTACAGATTTCCCTTCATTTTCAAATTTTGTTTCTCCCTCTTCACCAGCTCTTTCATTTATGATCTTTTCTCTCCAGCTTTTAATGATCAGTGTGCTGTATGGACTGTAACATTTAGCCCTCAGCGCTGCTCCACAATAGGGCCACTTGTCTTCAGCCCCAGGGTCTAAAAGCAGCACTATGCTCACAGGCCTACTGACCCGAACGGACTTGACTAATTTGAATACCAAGTGCTTGGTTTCTAACATGCACTTTTGTGTTGTAATGTGTGTGTATGTGCATTAATGCCTCTGCCTGTCTCACTCCCGCAGCGATGGACAGAAGATGAGCAAGCGCAAGAAGAACTACCCGGATCCAGGACTCATAGTGCAGAACTATGGCGCTGATGCCCTCAGGTCAGCTTTGCGCTTGAATGTGAACCAGCGTGTGTGTTTCTGAAGCATGAACGTGTGTGTGTTTGTGTGTGTGCCGGTGGCATGGATCCGTGTGGTAACCCACCTTATGTTATTAGCAAGGAAGCAATTTTAAAAGGTTTGAATCGCTATCCACGCTTAGCTAGGCAGCTCTTTTGTCCTACATAGAGTGCACACACACAGTCACGCATACTGTACATACACATGCATTCACACCCCCACCCCTCTTACATTCACTTCTTTGCCCTGAGCAGTGACAGTGCTCTGGCCATATGGTGTGATGAATAAAGCACTATGCAGTTTCCCCATATGCTCACTATATAGACTGATGAAGAGTGTGCTGCAGAGATAAAGAGAAGGGAGACATCTTGTTTTCCTTTAAAGCTTTGATTCACTATAGAGGATGAGTCTCTTTTGTGTGTTCAAACTTTACTAACAGTGTCGCTGTTGCTGAACAGAGAGTTCTGTTTCTATTTTGACTCCCAGTGCTCTCATACGGATTAAGTAACAACCCTCTGACATCATGTTGGCTCATTTCAAGGTGCCAAAAACTATTTGACTAACTGACGGGTGTGTGTATTGTACATTTTGTTAAAAAATGTATTTTAAGAGTCCCCGCTATTAGAAACACTGTTGGTCTGTTGCATGAAGTTGCATCACGTAAGCCTGCTCCCCAAATCATCATCAAACCCTTTATAAAGATGTCTGCACTCAGTAATCTGTCGCCTGCCACTGGCTATTATATCATGGCTTGTTCAGATTTTCAGTCTGTCACATCGACAGTGATTTTGTTCGGATTTAATAAAGAAGGAAAAATTCTACTGACTCCAATTTGTACTTCGATGCTGGTAGTTAAAGAAACAGTTTGCTGATCATAATGTAGGTGGACATTAGGCTAATTGGTAAACCTTATTCAATCCAAATACATTTGACATCTGTGTAGCCTTGCATTAGGAAACTGTGCTTGTTTCACAGTTTGCCTTTGAGGCTGTCGGATAAGTGTCCTGTATTATGGAATAGCACTTGACACTTGAGGGGCTGCAGGCCAAGCTCTCTCGCTCTGTGGCCAAAAGAAAAACTGAATGTTAGATAGATGTAGAGAGAGAGACAGAAGTTTAGTTTGACACCACATTGCAACAGTTGAGCAGTTATTATGGTTCCCTGGCGGAGATAAGGAAATCGTTTTTAACAGGGATAAAATGAGCAAAAACTACAAATGTAAAAAAAAAAAGGATTGGAGTTAGCTTCATTTCTGCATCTGAATCGGTTTTGGTCCTCACTGTCCACATATTCCCCTCTTATTCCTGCTGATGAGACTATTGTAGATAAACAGCAAATGTGGCAATTGTATTGTTAAATAGGGCTGAACGGTTTTGGAAAATAATCTAATTGTGATTTTTTTCCTCAATATTGCGATTTAATATGCTGTTATTTTTTCAAGGTCCTCTTCTAATGTATTTTTCAACAAACAAAAACAATAAATCAATTTGTATTATAGTAAACAATATGAGATTGATATCAGATTTATTAAACATGAATCGTTCTTTCTGGCAAATATCATTTTACACACACAGGCTGTGTTTTATTGTATCAAGGTGCAATTGCAAATGCTATTAATCATTCAGCCCTACTGTTAAATTATAAAAATTTATAACTCAGTTTTATTCAGAGCCATAGTATCAAAAGTAACATATATCCATCCTCCTAAATGTGTTTTAAACTCTGTTGTTTCGGTTTCTTGTACTCTCCTGTACGCTGCACTGAGAGTCACTTTAGAGTATGTATTTGTAACTGGGGCATCACTGCACAGATCTGCAGAGCTGGTTCTGACTACTGTTTTGTTTTTGAATCCGTCTTAAACACCAACACATACTTGGTTTGACTCGACCTACTTACACAAACAGTAAACAGCTTCCCTCTCATATCTATGAACAGATTTTAGTCGTTACCTGTTCACCCACTTCACGCTCCGAATCACTTTTTATGCATTCTACCGAACTCACTGGCTCCTCTCTCTCCTTTCTGTGCAGACTCTACCTCATCAACTCTCCTGTGGTGAGAGCAGAGAACCTGCGTTTTAAAGAGGAGGGGGTGCGAGACGTGTTGAAGGATGTCTTCCTGCCGTGGTATAACGCGTACCGCTTCCTGGTGCAGAATGTTCAAAGGTTACAGAAGGTACGTGTGTAATGAACAGAATAAAAGGTCATTATTGCAGCACTTACACAACGTTCCTTTAGTTTTTTCTACTTCTACAAACCACAGCACCGCTGTATAGCAGTGTAGAAATTTCTAAGCAATTATTGGAAGGCACGAAACAGTTGTTACCACACATGCCCTAATACATTTCCCTCATGCCTCCATGTTTATTGTTGGCTGGAGGACTTGAGTTTAATTAAAACAAAAAAAGGAGCACAAAGCATTTTTTTACACCATTATATCTGCTTTGCTTGTGAAAAATGATCCAATTTCACTGGTCTTGAAATGCATGTAGTTCCTGTTTTGTTTTTTCCTCACTTCACCCCAACAACCATCAAAAAGACACTGTGAGCCCATGTGAAAAGTATCTGGTAAGGATGGGAATCACCAGTGGCCCCTCGATACGATATTAGTACCTAGGCCACAATACGATATTATGACGATACTTGGGCCACGATACAGTATTATCATGGTACTTGGGCCATGATACGATGATATGACGATACTTAGGCCATGATACGTTATTATCACGATACTTGGGCCACGATACAATATTATCACAATACTTAGGCCATGATATAATGATATCACGATATTTGGGCCACAATACAATATTATCATGATACTTGGGCCATGATATGATGATATCACGATTCTTGGGCCATGATACGTTATTGTCACGATACCTGGGCCATGATACAATATTATCACGATACTTGGACCACGATACGGTGATATCAAGATACTTGGGCCACGATACAATATTATCACGATACTTGGGCCGTGATACGATACTATCACGATATTTGGGCCATGATACAATATTATTGCGATTTTTAACATTTTGCAATACAGTGAGTATTGCGATACAATATACTAGCTAATTTAGTATTTGGCTTTTCTTTGTCTTATTTATGCTGTATTTCATCTTCCTGTAGCACATTTTGCAAACCTCATATACTGTGCATTTGTTGTACTAACTTTCTCCTGCTCCATCAGTTAATTTGAAAAATTGATACTTGGTAAATGAGACGATACAATATATCACCAAACAAAATATGACAATATGATGCTGTATCTGTTTTTTCTCCCACCCCAACTAACTGGGTTCACCTTTTAAATAACTTTTTAAATCACTTTTTCCCACTCAAAAGCAACATTTATTAGCCCACTCCTTGTCATTTTCTGTATTTTTATTTCATTTTATTCTTTACTGTTTTTACTTTTATCTTGCTGTTTCATGCTGCTGTTGTTTTATTTTTTATTATTTTTATGAAGTGACCTTGAGTGCTCAGAAAGGCGCTTTTAAATAAAATGTATTATCATAAAAATAATAGAAATAAACACGTTAAAACATGTTTATTTGAAAATGTTCCTGACATCTATTACACCTTCCAGGTAGCAGAAAAAGCTGCAGGTTTCCCGTGGCATGAGTGTCTAAACTGCTGCAGAAGTAGCTGTTCCAGCCTGTAGATGGCTCACATCAGCAGTACTGAGCTTTCTCTGACCTTTTTTCTTGCTGCTTCACAACAGCATCCCTCTTCTGCTTATCAAATCAAATTGTTAGAGGACTTAAAAGAAACTCAAATTGATGCGTTCATAACTTCACTTTGTGTGTGTTCTTGTATGTTTTATATGTTAGGAGGAGGACACTCAATTCCTGTACAATGAAAACACAGCAAAGCAGAGTGACAACATCATGGACAAATGGATCCAGTCCTTCACACAGTCCCTCATCCAGTTCTTCAAGGCTGAGATGGATGGTGAGGCACACAGACACTTTTCAAACTGAATTTTATCTGACTGATAAGTTAAAAACTGCCTCTTAGCTCTTTAATCCATCAAATCTGCAGTTCTTCTATTCAACATGAGTAAAGTGAAGTTTCCTCTCACAGGTTATCGCCTGTACACGGTCGTGCCTCGCTTGGTCAAGTTTGTGGACATGCTCACCAACTGGTATGTCAGGACCAACAGACGCCGTCTGAAGGTGAGATAACAAATCTGAATCAGTCAAGTCTTTGTGACAAAGGGTCCAAACCTCGAGATCTGATGAGTCATATATGTAATCGTATACATGAAGCGAAGACAACGCTCTTCACTTTTTAGGCCCTGTATGTTTTCTGATCGTAAGTGACTAATTAGCGTAATGAAAACATTTTAGTCTCTCCTCAGAGCTATCAGTTTGTGTATCCCCCTCCTTGTCAACATTTGGTTGTCATGGATTTGGTGATAAATACTCTGATGTCTGCCGGGGCACTTTTATCTTTTCACTGTTGCGAGGGGACTGACTGTATTGATGCATGTGTGAACTTTTCAGGGAGAGAGTGGCACTGAGGACTGCCTGTGGGCGCTGGAAACCCTCTTCAGTGTTCTGTTTTCCATGTGCAGGCTGATGGTGAGTCATACTGTTTCTGTGTGTGTATGTGTGTGTGTGTGAGAGAGAGAGAGAAGTGAGATTGTATGGGGAGAAATTCTTGTGGTGAGGTTTTGATTTTGTAAATGCAAATAACAAAGAAATAACGCCGGTATGGAAGAGGTGAGAGTGTGTTTGTGTGTGTGTCTGTGTGTGTGTGTGTGTGTGTGCACACATGGCTATGAATAATGCATAAGCAGTAGGAGTTTTTATTTATAACACATTGAAGATGTTTGCATGTGAGGCGAGAGGCACGCTAAGAGCCAGTTATCCTAACCCAGATCAATACAGATCAGCTGTGAACCATACAAATTAATTAGCCGAGGTTGAAATGGATGAGAATCACATTAGAAGTAACCTCTTTCTGGCACAATCCAGTTTGAACTTTTGCACCATCCGAGTGAGGGGAAGAAAAAAAAACAGCTGCAGTGAAAAAATGTGTTTTGTATGCTGATTTTATTTCTGCCTCTGACTTTTAGACCTCTTTGTCAGAAAATGTAAATGAACCAACAGCACAGAGTATCGAAGAAGAATCTCCTGCTCTTCGTTTCTCTTTCATGTGGACTTGCTCTCTTTCCTCCTCTCCCCCCTCCAGGCTCCCTTCACACCTTTCATTACAGAGATGATGTACCAAAATCTGCGTCATCTCATCGACCCCGCCTCTGTGGAGGAGAAGGACAGCAGCAGCATCCACTATCTCATGCTGCCACATATCAGGTTGGTTGAAAAAAATTACTTGGATTGAGCTAGGGCTGGGCGATAAACCGAAAATTTACAGATACTGAAATTTACGTCAATAACTGACGTCATTTTTTCCCATATCTGTAAATTCAGTGTCAAATAAATAAATAAAAGTTGGTTTTGGATGTGTGTAGGTAGGCTGTGGTCTCATATCCCTTTAAGACGCTGTCCTATGAGTTGGAGGAGCTGGAGCGTCAGCTGAAGTAGACAAAGTTAATGTGGGAGGGGGTGAGCAGCTTGTGAAGTAGTTATCATCCATTTATTGTTATCGAGGTGAACTGCTCAATATATCGTGACATTGATTTGAGGCCATATTGCCCAGCCCTAGATTGAGCTTAAATTATTGGGAAAGTGACCTTTTCAGTAATTTGCAGTAATTTACTGTACATCCAGTTCTCAGTGGCACCCTGGGAGTCGTCTCAATGCATGCTGGTTAAAGAGGATTAATAGCTGATCAATTACCTGTCAGATATTAAATATATCACGAGCAGTGGTGACACATTCATCAGGTCGATTTATTCTTTAAGAAAAGGAGAAAATTCTTAGATCCCAGATTTCTTAAATGTGAATATTTTCTGGTTTCTTTGCCCTTAAATGACAATATGTTTGAGTTGTACTTATCGACTACTTATTCCTGCATTTCTAGTGTTTTTTTATATCTGATTCGCCTTTTTTTGATCAAGACAGAAAATAATTACCAGATACAGTAACCTTGTTTTCTTCCCTTCACATTCAGTCTTTTTAAAATTATTTGTAAACATCCAGGCTGGAAAACCAAAGTCAGAAATCAAACAAACGTAATAACGTAAAGACTGACTGCTGATTTGCCAGACAGATAATTAAGGAATTGTTTTATTTTGAAAGGAAATAATACAAGCACCGGTAAAAACAAGCCAAGCTGCTAATTTCCACGGTAAAGACATCACTCTGGGTTCTGTACCACGTCTTGTTCAGTGACTCATCAGAAGTGCAGACACTTTCTTCTACCGGTTTTCTGACCGAATCAAAGAAACCGAGGTCATCCTGTGTTAAAGCTGCTTCTCTTGCTACTCTGTCACCCCCACAGCTCATGGAGAAATCCCCCCTTGTGTTAGCCTTTCTTTTCCCACAGGATATTCACTGCTGATCCACAGCCTAATCAGTCTCAGCCAGAGTGCGTGGCCTTACTTTACCCCGACCGTATCACACTCTGAACTCCTCAGAGGACCAGCTTTTGAGGCTCCAGAGCCCACAGTTGTTTCTAGATAACTGTCCGGCTGGCTCTGTAGCAGCTCTTCTGTTGTTCGCCACTCTTTCTCTGTTCACTCCATCTGTTTGCCGCCTCATTGTCCGCTACGTTATCATCTTTTTTGCATCATCAGACTGATCAAATATCCATTTCTTTGTATTATTAGGAGTATGATTTTATAGGATTTATTTCTTCTGCGGATAAAGATTAGTCTGGGAGTCGTTTCTGAGCTGATTTTCTTTCTCTGCTCGATGTTGTCAAATGCAAAGCTCTTTGTTTCTGGCTGATAAAAGTGAATCACAGATGATACATTCTCCACAGCAGCACAAACAACTGACAATCGGGTCATTTGATAGGAGGAAAAAAAAAACACAGAAATCCTTGTGTGCTGCCTCCCTGAAGTTCGCTGCTAAGTCAACCTGAACTAACCCTGTTTGCATTTTCAGGATAAATCTGTTGTTGCTTTCCTTAGAGAGAGATCAGAGTTTGCGCACTTTGAGCAGGGACTGTAAAATACCCCCACACACACAGAACAGCTCAGTACCTGTCTTCATATTCACTCTTGCAGATGGAAATTGCTCAAAAACCACAATCATTGTATTCACTTCACTTGAATTACATCAGTTAAATGTTTGCCTTGGTGGCTGATCAGTTTTGCAATGCCTGGCAGGAATTTCTAATTGCCTAAACTTAATTGCATCATCTTTAACTGTAAAAGAAAAAAAGAAAAAAGTTCTGACATGATTAAATATCCATTTGATTTAGGAAAGGAAAATAGTGAGTGTAATGGTTCATATAATCTCCCCTGTCACTTAGGCGGCACTCGGTGCTGCTGCTTTATTAGCGGCTTGTCCTTCCTGCTGTCCAATGGGACTACTTCAGCCCCCTCCCAGAGGTCAGCCACCAATCAGGCGGTGGGAACAGCTGCTCCTCAATCAGCTCATTAAATGATTGGCCGTCCCCTGTGTCCTCTTCTCTCTCATTTTGCTCGGCGGTTGTGTGCACACATTCAAAAGTAAATGATCAAGCCCGTATACACACAACACACATCCACACTTAGGGCTAATATCGCTATTGTGCATGATTATCAGCGGCTGTGCAGCGCTAATTTGGATTCAGAGGTAGAAGTCTCAGCGTACCTTATTAGCGGATGATCTGTAGTTAAACTCTGGCACTGATGGTTCTGAACTCTCTTTATTTGAAAGTGTGGAAATAACCTTGAATCGTTGTATTATTCATTTTCTTCAATATAGCAGCAGTTTGAATTTATAAACCACCATTAACGAGAAAATGCTGCATGTGAGTTATCACAGGGACCAACCTACTCCCTCTAACTGTGACCTGACATTGTGCAGAATACTGAATGACGCCCCAAAGGAGACAAGTTGTTTTGAAAGATGTTTCACTCATGCTCCTACATCCCAATATTAACAGACAGCAGCTCAATCAGAGGGCGCTCTTTATTCTTGCAAAAGGCTGAGAAAGTAGCGCATAAATAACAAAATTCTTGAAGGTCAAATGATCGCAGTTTGACACGGTAATGCTGCCTTTTTATGTTAGGATGATACGGTTTGCCTTACATGTGTTGTTTTATTTTCTCTTTTTTTTAGGGAGGGTTTGATTGACAAGCGCATTGAGAGTGCTGTCTCCCAGATGCAGTCTGTGATTGAGCTGGGCAGAGTGATCCGAGACAGAAAGACCCTGCCTGTCAAGGTGAATCATTACCCGAACCTAATCCATTAATGCACTTCAGTATGAGAGGTACATTGAATGAAAACATGAGGACTCATACTCATTTTCCAGTATTGGCTTGCTACAGATGTGTCCATGTCAACCGATCGAATAACAAGAAGTGGCTTTTAGGGGAAATACAGCGAGAAATACTACTGCTGGAAAACCTGTCACGATCTGATTGTTGTTGTTTTTTTATTTAAATAAAATGTTCAAAGCACGTAAAAAATTATGTGACAGCTATTCCAAAAGTTTGTTGGTTTATGTTAGAGAAAGCAAACAAACCCTATCACTTTAAACTTGTGTGTAATTATGATTGGTCTGTTTCAAACTCAGCAGAAGTCAGTTTGGTATTTTCAATTCTATTCATTCATCTCCTCTTCATTTTGTAGACAGGTCCATTGTGTACCGAGCTGTCTCTTCGATTATGAAAAATATTCCAGAGTTTTGGTTCTGGAGCTCTGGGCCAACTTTAATGTTTGGTTGTGTTTGGTTGTAGTACCCACTGAAGGAGGTGGTAGTTATTCACCAGGACCCCGAGGCTCTCAGAGACATCCAGTCCCTGCAGAAATACATCCTGGAAGTAAGTCGACTTTTTTTTGTGTTTATTTTACTTTCAGATGGGGCGCAATTAATTCCAAAGATCTGGTTCCACTATTGAAATCAGGGATTTTCTATCATGAATAGGTGACTCATTTGGATCATAGATACTCATACAAGCAAATAAGAGTTTTAAGACATCTATAGAATAAAATGTATGGTGCTGATTTTCATCTGTTAGCATTTGTCAGCCAGTTGTTTTGAATTTGAAATTAGTAACTTCAGTCATGATGTAGGAAACCACAAATTAAGTATTGATTAAGTACACTCAGGTCACTTATAGGGCTGCATGATTTTGGCCAAAAATTAAATCCCGTTTTTTTTCGGTTTTCGGTTTTCAATTTTGATTTTTTATTCTGTGACAACTTCACCAAACTTCACTCTAAATCTCTCAAAATGAAACCACTGAAAACGATGCCGTGCATATGCCAAGCCAGTAAGTTTTGCTGTAATGCCGCAGAGGAAAAGCACAAAAGACAGAAGAAGAGTACAGAGCGCGTCCTGGAGGCGTGAGACACAACAGAGAGGAAAATCGATTTGACGATTTTCATTTTTTTAACATCGTCATAATTAAATAATCCGATTATGATTGAAAAACAATTAATCGTGCAGCCCTAGTCACCTTTATCAAGTGGAAAACTATAGAAATTCTGAGTTGCCAAAAAACAGAGCTTGATGAAGTGGCGTACCGCTAGAGCTTTGCTTCAAAGAGAGCTGCATCTTCTGTCATCTTTCATTTAGGTGTCTCTCTAATTTGATTCTGCTTCACTGGCTTAAATAAGAGCTATTACGTAAATAAAATAAAGAGAGATGTCCCCTGGAAGTTCTGTGACACTCCAAATCTGGTTCGCTCACTTGAAATGTAGCCGTACAACAGAGCGGCTGTTTGTATCATCAGCTCTAATTGAAATTTTACTGCCAGTTAATTTGAATAGAGGGTGGAGCGGATGCCATGGAAAATCATTTCCTGTTTGATCCACTCGACCCTGAAACTCTTCATCAAATGCAGTTTAGACACAAGAGCATTGTTTACTTTTCCTCTCCACACATGGAAACATTATATTCCCTATTATCTGCTTGTGCTCTGTGTAATGCCTCATTACTGTTAGCTCCAGACTCCCACACCAATAGCCTGGTCGATGGTTTTATACACTAACACATCCTGTGCTTTTGGCCAAATAGGAACTAGGTGTTTGCTATGTAACATTTGTTTTCGCAGAGGTAACATTATTAATGTATGGTTGTGTCCCAGATAGTGCTGATTATTCACAAAAGTTTGTCAGCTGTCCAGGAGAGTGGAAAAACAACTCTCCAGACGATAAGCTAACTGTCACAGAACCTAGCATAACCTTTCAGAACAGGAAACCATTAAACTGACATCATCCCTTTTTTTGATTTTCCACCAACAAAGTTCAAAGAGTCAATGTTGTTCCCCGTCTGACTCGTTGAACCTCCTCAGCGTCTAAAATAAGGCCGTTTTCCTCCTTTTGTACACTCAGCTGTGGGAATGTTGCTACTTTTATTCTCCTGAAGCTGTGCCAAAATGTTTCCAAAATGGTTGGAAAGTGACACACGAACGAATTACTGATGCATCATAATTTTAATATAGATTCAGGCTCGTGTTCTGATAAGATGCTGATCCGGAAATTTGACAGAGCATTTGCAGACTAAGGCCCTTGTGGGAAAAGGGCTTCTGCTGCAGCCGTCTGTTGGATCCTGCGAGCTGTATCTTAGTTAAAACCTCGCCTTATCTCTCTCTCTCTGTTTCATTTCTGGCGGGGAAAACATTTAACCTCGCAGGATTAAAGCTTTCCTCCGGTAAACAAGGTTTATTTGCTCAGAATTTGAGAGCAGTCTGAGGTCCTTCTGCAACAGAGAGGAACCTTCAAACTGTCTTACATCGTGTTTGCTGTCGTGTCAATTAAGATGAGCTTTTGAAATACAAGGGGGATTAATCCTTCCCCATTCTGCTCCCATTTTCTCTTCATTTTATTTCAACTACAGTTATTCCCTTTTTTCATTGAAGTTTCTTTGACTGTGACTCATATGTGATCCAAATGAGCAGCTTCAGAGAGTTGCACAGTAATTCATTAAGTTCTGCCGTTCTGGGATCTCGCCCTCTTCACACCTTTGTGCCATGAATAACAACGTCGCTGTTGTTACCGGCTGGCTTACTGACTGGTTGATTTTATGGCTGACTTGCTCTCTAGGTGATTTATATTTTAAAATCGGCCCTTTATAGTGGTTTTTAGACACACATAATTTAGGTTTTTGATTTGACTTCTACAGGATGTAACAAAGCATTGAGCTACAGGATACATACAGTAGATCGTCGCTGTTCAATGAAAAACGCGCATCTCTACTTTTACCGATCTGGACTTTTTCCAATCCATGCATGGTCCATAATCTTCCCTAACAACCCGTAGCTTTGGGAATCCAAATGACTGATGGAAAGACATTTTATAACATCATCTTTTTAACAAGTACTTCCATTAGGCGTCGAAAGTGTCAACAAAGCCCGTATTTCCCACCCTGGCTCTGTGTTGTCATGACAGCAAACAGACTTTACACTGTGACATAGGGCTGGGCAATATGGCCTCAAATTAATATCACGTTACATTGAGCAGTTCACATCGATAACGATAAATGGATGTTTACTACTCCACAAGCTGCTCATCCCCTCCCAATTAACTTCGTCTACTTCAGTCGCTACAACTTTTGAACTGTCCTCCATCTCCTCACCTGTCTTTCCCTCTTTGTTGTGGAGTGGATGGGGCAGAGTCATGGCTGTGATGTAGGACAGTGTCTTACAGGGACATGACACACATTCAAAACAAACTTTTATTTATTTATTTGTTTGACACCGAATATACCGATATGGGCAAAATGACATTGGTTATTGATGTAAATTTCAGTATCGCTAAATTTTCTGTTTATCGCCCAGCCCTACTGTGACAAACTCATTACAATTCAGGGTAATGCTACACTAACATCCTCACATTAACTGATGCTGACCTAAAACTTTGTTCTTATCATGACAGTGTTGCTTACCTATACATTAGATTTCTTGAGCTGAAGTTCATCACCAGAGGCAAAGCTGCTGCTGCTATTTTCTCTCTCACCGTTGTGGACACTAGTGCATGTTAAATTGGGAGTCATGTAGGATAGCCCGCTATCAATAGTTTATCAACATAGTGGAACATAAACAGGATACTAGAAGCTCGTTAATAACTGAACATCATTGGAGCGCATTATTAAAAAAAAGAAAAACACGAGCTCATTCCTCGTCTCCTACATGGTTATCACAGTTAAGTAGTCATTTGGTCCTCATCCTTTTCATTGCACCACTTTCAGCTATAGTAGATAAGCTGTTCAAGTCCACAGCAGCCTCATAACAATGAGCTGAAGCAGCATAATGTGTGACTTAAACATTGATTCTCATGCTCACTAACCAGTCTTAAGACTCTGTCCTTGTGTTTACACCTCAGCCTGCTGCAGCAGCTTGTCTTTAATTTCTGCCTGCATGTCAGATTTGCCTCTAGAGGTTAAACTAAATTAATGTTTTTGGGTCGCTTAAATTTCCGCACTATTACCAGGAGATTTCCTCCTTGGGATTTTTCTTTTGACAAATTATGTTTTTGCGTAACATGATTAAAATATGAGTTCATTTCTGAAGAGGCTTAACTGTAGTACAGTTACACTTGTCCAGGTCAATTTTCCCATCTCTATAATATTTGGTTCAGACTAGGGCTGGGCGATAAAACGATAATGATAAATATAAAAAATGAATTTCCCTCAATATTGATATGATACATGGTCAATATGCTTTTCAATAGCAGTCCATGATTTGGTAAGACTTAATGAAAAGCCAATGAAAATGGGAGTTGCTTTGGGTCCGTGCCGAGCTGAGCCAATCATGTGCTGAATTAGAACCAAGTAGCAAACAACTGTGTAGTAGCAGGCTGCAACTACACGCAACCATAGCACCTTAACAAGTGAAGCCGACAGCACTGTCGATGAGAAAAAAGAAAATGAGTGCTACCCCTGACAGAAATGCAGATAAAGACCCAACAGATGATGACATCATCGAAAACACTGGCATGAAAACATTGGTAGTGTGAAGTTGTTTTGGTTTTTTGAGGTCGGACATGAAGCAGAGTAATGTGCAGTACATGTTCTTGCAAAGTCAGAGAATACCTCAAATCTTTTTTACCACCTGAAGCAGTGCCATGCAGCAGAGCACGCGCAATGTGAAAGTTTACAAGCCCTGAGCTGAGCAACTGCGAAGCAGCCCATGGCGCCTGTGCAGCCGAAACAGCTGACCTTTCAGTCCGCTTGCGCTAGCGCAATGTCTTACGACAAAACGTCGAAGAGACACAAAGACCTCACAGATGCAGTAGCTTATTGTATCGCGACAGACATGCTACCAATAAGCACTGTTAAATTTGATTGAAGTATAACAGGGAACATTTAAGATTGACAAGTGATTTTTTTTTAATATTGTGAAATATATCGATATCAACTGACATGAAGAAGATATACCGTGATAAACTTTTTCCCATATCGCCCAGCCCTAGTTCAGACAATAGCAGCATCCTCTTACATGATGTTTCTCATCCTCATTCTCCAGGAGCTGAATGTGCGACAGTTGACGCTGTCCACAGACAAGGACAAGTACGGCATCAGCCTGAGAGCGGAGCCTGACCACATGGTGCTGGGCAAGAGACTAAAGGGGGCCTTCAAAGCTGTCACTGCCTCTATCAAGGAGCTGACTAACACACAGCTCGAGTCCTTCCAGAAAACAGGTAAATGCTGTGTTTTTGTGTGTGCAAAAAATTAAAAATCTCCCATTTCTTGTCTCCTCAGCCAAAGACTCAACGAGCAAGCAACAAATCTGTTAATCAAATGATGATTAGTTATAAACGGTGGGTTAGTTTATGCACACAACTACGTAACATTTCAAAATGATATATATTGAAGCTTAGATTGGACTAGGATTCCTTGCAATCAGAGCACAGACTGACAGACAGAAGGTTTATCCTCATCCTGCAAACCCCATCCCTCCTGAAACCATAATCAGAGCTCGAGTACGGATCAAAGCAGTCCAAGGTATCTTGTCCGTCCAATTATAGAAAGACGAGGAGAGCCCCCTGAATCTCCAGGGAAGGAGGCAGTGGAGGTCAGCTGGGCTGTGGGAACTTAACATTTTCAATCACTTGGATGTTTGAAGTCTGGCCAATTGGATGGAAAGAAAAAAAAAAAAAGGAAGACGAGCGATGGAGGGAAAGAGATAGATGTGGTGGAGGATGGTGAAAAATTGATGTAAGGAGGGAACACAGAGATAAAAATGTTTACAGCTGAACTGAGTGAGATTCTTCTGACTGATGATCACAGGGGAGATGTGATGACGGAGATGTTTGTGCATAACCTGTTGTTAAAGCGCTGAATTATAAAATGCTTCACCTGTCTATTGAAGGGAATAAATCAACTCAGTAAATATGAGGCTTCATCGATCAGCCTGTCGAGTTATTCCTGCATAAATGCTTCATGTAGGAGAAAACGACTCCCTCTGGTCGGAAAACAACATACGATAAACCCTGGAAACTGTTTAATGCTGAAAGATGCTTCTCTTAAAAGTAATAAGTCCTTGGCCAACTCTTCACTTTCACTCTACTTTTAACCTCTTGATCAATTTCCAGCAAAGTCTCCATGACTCTCAAGACCTTGTTCCAATTTAGACTTTGAGGGTGGCAATTTGACCAGAAACCGACGGCGGTTTCATGGCCTTTGGTTGAATTGCTCATTATTTCTTACCTGTACCTTTTGATCCCATCATTTTGACAGGGCGAAAAAAAGGGCGAAAAAGCAAAGAGAAGTGAAGAGGGACAGAGGAAATCAAAGCATGGAAATCTAGGATTAGAGAGAGAAAGATGGAGCGACTGTTTCACCCAGCCTCTGGGCACGGAGAAGAGAAAAGGAAAGGAGAACTCGGTCATGGTTTTTAGTCCGAACACAGACGTGGGTAATTGCTCCCACTGGCAAAAAGAGATATAATCCCTGACTAGAACGGGTTTGTTTAATGTTTGAATGCTCACATCTTCGGTGATTGTGGATAGTTCATATTGAATTGTGAGGAGTCTACAAATGCAAACGAATACTCGTCCAAACCCTTTCTGAGTCAAAACAAAGCCACAGCCTGCATGTGTGTTAGGAGAGCACTTGATTCAGTGTGGCACGGTGTAATTAAAACCTTTTCAACAATCATTCCAAGAGAGCAAACTCCGCTGCATAAAGACAAATTTTTCACACCATCAGTTGATAGTTTGTTGAAATCTAATTAGAGAAGTTAAGGGGCATAAAAAGTTTAGCGCCGCGTTTTTATTAAAGCATGTTTCCAGAACTGATTAAATCCTGACATGCCCAAATAATCATCTATTTTTTCCGCGTCTACACATTTTTATCCTACGATTTGTTTTCTTTAATAATCCTATAATCATTTTGTTAAATATCTTCCTATCAGCGAGACGTGGGGATTGTTTTTGATTTTCACTAAACTGACTGCAGCAGTATTCTTCTCTAATTAAATGATCATTGCCCAATTTAAGCGATCTGCCAAAATCGTTGCCGCTTACGAACACATTCCTCGTTACGCCGTCGCCACGACTTCTAACCGACTTTGTATTGTGACATTTCTCATGAATTGAACACTTGATTTCGTTTCTCTCATGATCGTTTCCAAGAATAGGAAACCCCCCCCTTCCTCTGTGGTCACAAGCTCTTTTAATGAGTATATATTATGTATGGTTGGACTCATTTTCAGGACCCCCCAGTGGTGGTCTGTTTGGACTGTATAATTTATAGTCCGTCAGAGATGGAGCCTGACGGTGCAGCATCACAGCGGGGTCCCATTGTTTGGCTTTCCGCTTGAACAGCAAATTCACTCCGTCAGAGATGTACACAAATTAATTTTAATGACTGATGAATGTTACGCTGTTGTTTATTTGTTTTAATAACGCAGCTGCGGTTCTTATATTATTGTTGATTTGAAGGATCCATCACGGTGGACGGCCATGAGCTCCATGAGGAGGACCTGAGACTGATGTACACCTTCAACCAGAGCTCTGGTTCAGCTGCACAGTATGAAGCACACTCCGATGCACAGGTATTCACAAGCTTTTCCTGCCTTTGTATGAGGATTAAACACTCTGCAAGAAAACTGGGTGAAGATTTGAGTCTTAATTTTCTCTGGAAGAATTGAAACTCCCTTTTCTGAATTACAGAATAAAGTGTGTTGCTATTGCAGGCCAGTATGGGGCTCCTCCACTCAGGACTTCCTCTAGGCAGCTTAAGAATAGATTTGAGTTGGCTGCAAAAAAAATATTATTCCATTTTCATCTTTGGATCTAATGTGCACTCTGCAGAGGTTTAGTAAAGTGTCTTTTGCCCATTTCTGTTAGAGAGCAATCGCTGCTAGACAAGAAGTCGGCTGCTGTAAAGATGGATTTTTTTGTGGCTTCAAAAACAACATCATAACAGAATCACAGTCTCACTTTCTTGTATCTATAAAGGATACATTTACCTTCCTCTAGCAGCCATTTAGCAATAAATGGAGTTTGGTTAAAAGCTGCATCAGGGAAGGAATTAGTTTGCCTCAACATTTTTAAACCAGTACTCTCAAAGCTCTATATCTTGCCTTTTACAACTTTGCATAAGCAAAAATGCAGCATACAGGGTATCTGCGGGGTCTTAAAAAGTCTGAAAACATCTAAAATCCAATAATTTGATTTTAAGGCCTTAAAATGTCTAAAATTCTCCTAAAATCTCATAAAAATGTCCTCAATACGATTTTGAAAGGTCTTTAAAATGTATTAACTACTTACGAATAAATAACGTGCCATGGATTGATTTGAAGTACCGTATTTTTCAGACTATAAGGCACACCTAAAATCCTTAAATTTTCTCAAAAATTGACAATGGGCCTTATAATCCAGCACGCCTTATGTATGATCACTTTTGTGCTTACTGACCGATCAATGCGCTCAAAAATCTGTCAAAATGTGTAAGTACGACTTTGGTAAGCAACAAAGCCACTCTGCTCAATGGATATTCGTACTATTACGGTACGCTGTGTCACTACCCTGTAACAGGACCCCTGAGCAGTCTACAAGACTGCCTGACTGTAATATATAAACTAGAAGTGCATTCATGTAAGGGAGCCCGGGCCCGGAGTACGTGCTAGCAACAATAAACCAATCAATGCTTAATGCACCTTACAATTCAGTGCACCTTTTATGTGGACAAAGACATGTTAATTCACAGTGCGCCATATAATCTGGTGCGCCTTATGACCTAAAAATACGGTAATGTAAAAGGTTCAGATTTCCCTTCATGCCTTATTCTTTTACTTGCCTGTATGGATGTTAAATGGATCTCAAATTGTATTCATTACGGTCTTTAAAAAGTCTTAAGCAGTCTTGAATTTGTCTGGTTGAGAACTGATGAGACCCTGTTGTAGTTTTAAAGGACTTTATATCTATCTTACTTTTTCATGCACTTAAGCAACAACTCCCGAGAGGGTTACAAGACAACCTGTCAAGACTTGAGCCCAGTCTAGAGATATTCCAGTCGCAGTGCTACGCTTAGCCGATCAGCTGCTAGCTATATGAAACACATTAAAGGGTATAGCAGTACCTCAGTCCCATGCATGTCCTGTTCTCCCCACTCTCATGTTGTACTGCCACATCAGAAATTGCGTTCATCTAGATTGAGCTACAAAGTGTAATGCAACCAGACCTAAAGAGGAAAAAAAAAATCTCTTCTGCACAAAGCTGCCATATACTGTAAACGCATTTATGTGTCTTAACTGTGAGTGTGATGTATGAAATCATTTCACGGCTAAGTGGAGACCAGCATGTATGTGTTTCCCAGAGGCCCTCTCCAATCAGTGCTCCTCCAAGCGTATACACACCACACGGCTGCACCTTAATACCAGTTTACTGAGCTGGCTTTTTAATTCTCTCACTTGCTGTCGTTGGCTCTCTCGCTCCGACTCCCCTGCACCCATCTGCCTGTCTCTTTCTCTGTTTTCTCGCTTTCCTCCTCACTGTTTGCTTTTGCACTTTTCTCTGTCACCCTGTCATCTCTTTCCTTCCTTCTTCTCTTTGTTAAGTGTTCAGGACTGGTTAAAGTTCTGTCTCACTCTAAATGACATTTACTTTAGTACGTTTTAGTTAGGGCTGGGCGATCAACCAAAAACTTACAGATACCGAAATTTACGACAGTAACTGACGTCATTTTGCCCATGTCAATATATTATTAATATAAGTTGGTTTTGGATGTGTGTAGGTAGGCTATGGTCTCATGTCCCTTTAACACGCTGTCAGAGACGTGACTCCCCCCCATCCAGTCCGTAACAAAGAGGGAAAGACAGGTGAGGAGATGGAGGACGGTTCAAAAGTTGTAGCAGCTGGAGTAGATGAAGTTAATGTGGGAGGGGGTGAGCAGCTTGTGGAGTAGTTATTGTCCATTTATCATTATCGAGGTGAACTGCTCAATGTATTGTGAAATTGATTTGAAGCTATATCGCCCAGCCCTATGTCACAGTGTAGAGTCTGTTTGCTGACATGACAAACACAGGGCCAGGGCAGGAGATATGGGCTTTGTTGACACTTCCAACACCCAACTTGTTGAAAAGCTGATGTTATAAAATGTCTTTCCATCGTTCATTTGGATTCCACAAATAAACACAGCTTGCTTATTCGTCTTTATTTCCTATCTAAAGGTTTTTATTGTCTGGAGATTGAAGCTCAAAGTGTTTAAGATGTATGATATGTATCCTACCAATGCACGCTGCTAGAACTCTTGGGTGAACTCGCTCTGATTATTCGTAAATATGCCGCTTTCTTACAGTAGCAGGAATGTATTTTTTAATTTTTAACTGCACTACTGTAGCCAAAGTCAACAAGTCGTCTCTTATCTGATGTGTCAATAATACTTAAGTGATGGATTTAAAAGGGAAAACATTTCTAAATTGTTTAAAAGTCAGAGGAGAGTATACTCAGAATAGAAATCACAGATTAGACTTCAGGAAGACATAATCCCCTTGTTCAAATACTCATTTGGTTTAATCTATTTGATACAGCAGATTACAAAAAAAGTACTTAACCTTTAAATATTTTGAATATTATAAAAGAATTACAGTGTTTTGTTATTTTGAGGTCTAAGCAACTCTTGATGTCTATCACTCCTTCTTTGTATAAGTCAAAGAAAAAAACTCAGTGTCAATAAATCAAAAAAAAAAAAAGAAAAACCTGTTCAAAAATGTAACTGAACAAAGAGTGTCTTTCTTTTATTAAATCAAATTCTCCTTTCCTCGATTGTCTCTGTCATCCTTCAGGTCCTTGTGCTGCTCGATGTCACCCCAGACCAGTCCATGCTGGATGAGGGCGTCGCCCGAGAGGTCATCAACCGTATTCAGAAACTACGCAAGAAGGTGGGGCGATTATTTTCGGAGCACTACTACATCAGGAAAAAAGAGTGACACATAACACTCCATTAATACATTTTACAATCCAGTGTTTAGTGATTAGATAAGGACGTTTTTGAAACTGTTTGCCAACACAAGTAATCAAGGCTGTGACAGTATGATTAAAGTGTGCTGCAGAGGCGGTCTGGTCCTGGTAGAGAAACACAGCAGTTGCACACAGAGTGTACACATGACGGTTTTGCAGTGAAAGAACAGACTGAATAAGTCGTTTTTGGAGTGCTACAGCCGACTGAAAAACTCACTCAGAATTAAGTGAGGTACTTTTAAAGAAGACTAAAACAGTCGTCACATTTCCTCCTGATAGAGTAATGAGCTCCTGCAGGCTTTGTGGAATTAAAAACAAAGGAATCAACCAAAAAACTGATCTGTAGATCAACAATAATGAACACATATTTTTATAAAATGCTCCATGACTTTGTATCAAAGCAAAGAAATGAAGAGTTCACTTCAAATGTTTCCTTAAATCAGCATCTCAGCATAAAACAACAACAATAAAGCTCATTCTGTTCATATTTGGCTCACTAAAAAAGGTTCCCTTCAAACCTCTCAGGATCACTTGACAAGAATGAGGTAAAATAAATAAATAAATAAACAAACAGTGTAGAAAATAGATAGTTTAAATAACAACATAACGTCATCATGGAAAGGATTTGTGTGACCCTCTGTAGTGCCCTCAGTACGGTGGCCCTGAGGTGCAAATCAGAAAACACAACACTAAAAGAGAAAACACAACAGCAAATAAGAAAACTCAATGGTTAATGTTGTTGTGTTTTCTCTTTTTGTGTTGTGTTTTCTGATTTGCCGTTGTGTTTTGCACCTTAGGGCCACCGTAAAAACAGGGCAGTACAGTATTGCCATCCTCGAGGAAGGGAACCAGCTCCCTCTGTTGAATCAAGTACCTCATTATGAGTGGAAAAACACAATTACACAAACGCATGAAAAGGTGGTACATATACAGTCTTTATTTTGAAAATTTTGGCAAATAGATCAGTTGCGTTACTATGGAATAATGGTACTTTAAAATGTAGAAATACAACATTGTAAACAAAACAAACCATGAAACATTTTCCATCCTGAACTTCACATAGTTTTAAATTGTCTTTTTGTGTTGAGCATTTCAAAGTTTTATCATAAAATGTTTATTTCTGTCTAAATTGATCAATTATTTGCATTTTTCCTTTGTGTTTTATTTACCTACAAAAAGTCCATTTCTGGGACACCATACTCTATTATCAGAACTGTGATTTATATACATTCATTTGTGTTCATGGAAACCTTGATGGACTTGAGCTCTGAGATAATTAATGTTGAAGTCATTAATAGTAATAGTTTTGCTCAGCTGTAACCCAAACATCACAGGCGAATCAGAGTAAACTTTGTTCTCTTTGGTTTTGATACATTTCCCACCCATGGATCACCCTTTCTCCCCCTCCTTCCTCTTTATGTCCCACGTTTATTTTGTCAGGCCAGTTCTTTGAAATCTTTCCACTGCAGCGTCACAGTTAGAAGTTTCTCCATCATAAGGCAGGCTTAATGGAAGCTTAATTACGGTCTGGCCCCTTTCAGATTCTAATGTTGGAGCTTTGAAGTGGTCTGGGGAGTAAAGACGGATTAGCCAACAGCCTCTTGTTTTCACAAGCAACAAACAGTTTTTTCCGTCCGTCTATAGCGGTGGTGTTCACTGGCTCCCGGCCAGGCTAAATTCCTCCAGTTATTTCAAACTGAGATCTGTCAGGAATTTTCCACTCCGCGGATGGGAATTAATTTTTTAACATTTCTCTGACATGTTTGGTGGTAGTTTGTTGTCGTCGTATGCGTGTTTACCAGGGTTTGCGTGGGTGCTTGTGTTTTGTGCTGTGTGCATATGCGGGGCTGGGAAACAGAGGTCAGTGTTTCCTTTGTTTATTTTTCGTTTGTTTTTGTTGTGTTGGGCTGCTCACAAACTGGAGATCTCTTTAGCTCTATCTGACGTGTTCACACACATATACACACACACACAGACACACACACACACTGTATCAGCCCCTTCAGGGTAGGGTCACTACCTTGACTTGGCAGGAAAAGCCTATAAACCTTCTTCCATTGATTGACTGCTCCTCTGTATCTGGCTAACGTTATTCCTCTGCCCTTGAGCCACATACTGCAATTGGAGTGTGTAGATGTGTGTGTGTTTGCGAGCGTGCGCGTACTACACGGTCACTGTATATGTGTGTGGCTGTGCATACGTGTGCGCGGTTGCACACTGCAGATTAGGATGAGATCAATGTGTTTGAATGTGTCAAGGTTAGAGGAAGCTGGCAGAACACAATGCCAAAATAGATGGGCTTTCATCCAATAAAAAAAAAATCTCCTCTTGTTCCCCCCCCTGCATTTGTTTGTTCCTCCTGTGCTGTTTTTAGCTCTTTAAGATCCCCACCCTGTTTTCTTTGGCCCACCCTTTCACTCTTTATCCCATCCACCTTTTCTTTTTCTTGTATCAGGTAAAAGCGTCCTCCAAATTTCATTTTCCTACAGAGAGAGAGAAAAAAAAGAAATATCTGAAATGGGATTCCTCAAGTCAAAGGAAACAAATTGTTTTCATCAAATAAGAGCAGAATCCGAGCCAACTGTCTGGAAGGCTTTTGTGATGTGCTGCTGCAAGGGCTCTCTGTCATCTGTCAGGGTTTTTGCTATTTATGGCACCTTTGCCTCATTTTATATGAAGGAATCTGTATTTTATGGATGATAATACCATACTTTAAAGCTTATATTTCAATACCCTCTTCATATCTCGCAACCCTCTTGTCTCTCAGGGCCATTTGGTGCCATCGGATGAGATTTCTGTGTACTACCGCTGCCAGCCACAGGGGGAGTACTTGGACTCAGTGATCCAGGCTCACACAGACTTCATCCTGGCCACCACCAAGGCTCCTCTGCTGCCCTTCCCGGCCCCAAAGACCGCCAGCGTCATCATAGAGGAGAAAACGCAGGTATGAGAGGAGATCAAGATGAGGAGTATTCTTAGCTGAAATGACCGATTGGTTTCTTTCCTTTTTTTTTTTTCTTTCTTTTTTTTTCATTTAAATTTTTATTGGCAACCACAGAGACAAAGGTGATGAATAAACACCATCAAATTAATCCTAGTTGCCAATACAATTTTCAGTTCAAATAAGATAAGAGTGAGAAGGATGAAAAACAAAAACAGAAGAGAAAAAACTATAAAATAAATACACAGGTTGTAATGTACAGAGAATTCTATCCTCTCAGTAGTTCAGTTGGAGGGGGAATGCAGTTTGTAAAGGACTAGGTATGAACAGTCGGTTGGAACTTAACCCCAATCAAAGGTTTCTTTTGAGAGGCAGTCTGAGGTTTACTGAAGCCTTTTCACATTTATAAAACATGCTGGTACGAAACAGTGTGTGTTAACATTAGATTAAGTATCAGTTTGAGGTTCATTTGCTTAATTTCGTTCCCAGAATGTTCATCGATTTTTCATGATTTTATTCATTATTTATTCCCTGTCTGCTGTTAAAACTACAGGAGTGTATTTATGATTTACAAAGTAAAGGATGATTAAAAAAAACAACAAAATTTCATTTTTTTCCTCCCTGATTTTCTCTTTCTCCTTGTTGCAGCTGAAGGGCTCAGACATGGAGTTAATTATAGTAAAGGGATCTTCAGCCCCGCGGGCTCAGCTAAATGGACCAGCCTGTTCCTATGTGAACCTCAGAGTGACCGTCAACAACAAGGAACAAGGTATCACATGGGAAGTTGCTTTTCCCAGACAAGAAACTCCCAAAAAGATTGAACTGTCAGAAGATGCTCTGAGGGCATTCAGCGTTTCTTTCCACATGACTGGAATAAACATCATTTTATTTAGTTATCTTTTACATGTACAGGATAAGTTCATTATTTACCCCGTCTGTTTGTTTTCTCATTCAGAGGGTGTCGTGCTGTTGGAGAACCCCAAAGGAGATAACAGACTAGGTTTGGACCAGCTGAAGAAAGTGTGCAGCAGCATCTTTGGAGCCAACAACACCCAGCTCAGATTCTTCAACGGCGGGACTGGTAGGAAAAGATAAAAGCAGCTCTCTGTCATATCTTCTCTTGAAAGTATTTTGGCAGAGACTATCTGAAAACGTAAAACTTCAAGATTCAAGCAGTTTACGCACACAGGAATCGAAGAAGTCTTTGCTCTCTGACCTACAATGGAACAACAAAATGAAAAGACCTTAAAGTTTTGTTAAAAGAAATTTAGCCATGTAATGATGGTGCCCCCAAACTGTCAAAACAAAGCACAAATGATCAAAGACAGGCAATTAAAAATAAAAAAGGATGTTTGGCATAGTTGTACGCTCAATAATTAAAAAGTACATTAACAGAATACCAGATGTATTACTATTCATTGATAAATTTTGTATATGTTTTACATCAGTTCCTTCAATGTTTAATGTGTAACCCACACAATAGTTTTTACTTTCTTGATGAATCCTTTATCAATCCGCCGTGTTTTTAATTATGAAAACCAAATTTCAAGAAACAGAAAAAAATCTTAATTTTTTTTCCAAAACCAAGATTAAAAAATGGATAACAACTCATTTTCTCATTTTCCAATTTTGTGCTTAGCTTAGAGCAAAAATTAATGATATGGGTTCAAATTCTGCTTATCCTAATCTGTGTTTCTAATCGTCTGTATTCCCATGGCAACCGTCTTCTTGTGACAGCATGCCCTAGGTGGGAAACTCAGATGTTGTTATCATGTTCACATGTTGCATCCCAGTATTGTAAGTTATATAAACCATGATAACTTGATACTCTGGTTATTGCACAGCTCCTTTAGAGAGAAGTGATTCATGTGACATGATAGACTGCATGTTCATTCTAAGTAGCTTTTTAATAGTTTCAGATAGGGATGGGCAATATAGGCAAAAAAATTTATCACATAAGTTTTGCCATTTTGCCGATAACATTAAAGTCCTGATAAAATGCTCATGCTTTGGTCATCAACTTGCATTTATCACGTTTATTATAAGATGGCAAATAATTATCATGGAGGATTTTTCTGATGATATATCTTAAACGATAATTTGTTGCCCATCCATCATTTCAGTCAACATATAAAGTGTTAATGATCTTGACTTTGAGATGTGTTAGTTAAATAAATGCTACACTGATACACCTGTAGGGTCTCAAATCATGACTTGGAGACCAGAGCGAGCTCTACGATTTTAATTTTGTAATTTCATCTCAGTTTCCTCATAAAAAAAGCCTCTTTAAATACACTTACTGTGATTTCATGCACGTAGTTAACACTGTACGGTAATAAATCCCACTGCATTTTCCACAAAATAAAGAGGCGTGTTCAACACAACCAAAACCACCTGAAAGATGAACCTCATGTTTGTAGCATCAAGATGATATTACAGGGATTTTGTCAAAGTAGCTTACCTCAGAGTGTCTCGAGCTTGCATCCTTCTTTGATTTAAATTCATCCACAGGTCTGAGGAAGTTCACACACTTCAAAGTAGAGCTCTCCCTGCCTTTGTTGCCTGCTCCATCAGTCTGATCAGCTGCTGAGCTCAAACTACCTCCTCTACTTACTGGCGTAGCATCTTGTAAATAGTCTCCCAAAAGTTGATCAAGTATTTTTTCTGCAAGCTAGCCAAAAAATAAACTAGCTAGTTTTTATTCGCTTTGATTTGTTTACATTATAACAATGAAAAAGTAGGTCAAGAAAATAAATAATGTGTATTTTCCTTTTCACTCTATTCTTGGTCCAAAACAAACAAAGTTGTTTCTAAATATATATATTTTTTTACTGGTTTAGAGGCCCCAGAGTAACCAGGATGATTATCTAACCCTCTTGTGTTTTTTCCTGTACACGTGTTTGTGTTTGTGTTTGCATTTCAGAGGTGACCAGCAAAACGGACCTTCAGGCTCTTAACGGTAAAACTTTGTCAGTGACTTCAGGCTCTTCCTGCCCTGCTGGCTCCGCCCAAACCGTCGACACCCTCCTGTGTCCTTATGTGAACCTGCTGCTCTGCAACGCACAACCAGCCGGTAAGACGCACACATGGCGCGCACAAACATAGTGTAGCCACAGCCATGCGAAACCAGCGAGGCTGCCATTACTCTTTTTAATTATAATCGAATCCCCCGGAGAGTCCTGTGACAACAATTAATGGACCCTGCTGACAAGTCAGTGCTGTTAAAGCTTCATTTAATTTCATACATGTAGCATCACTCTTCTTCTGATAAATTCAGCACCAAGCACTGATTAGAAAACACAAGTTTACTTTCTGCATCAGGTAAATGTTTGACTCTTTAAAAACAAAAACCTGTTGAATGCTGCTTTTTTTTATTCACATTATTTCTTTTATTTCTTGCGCAGAGTCAGTTTACATATTTTCACCACTATAGCAGTTAGTGAGCTATGGAGACTTGTAAGCCTGAAAAATGTGTCAAGCATTGAACACCCAAATAAATATATTGGTGATTTGTAGTGTGAATCTTTTAATATCTCAAGATTTGACTCAAACTGATTCGTGAATCTCGTGTTGTTGCACAGAGATGCTTATTTTAGGATTTATTTCAGTCTGCTGTGATTATTTATTTTTATTTCTTGACATTAATGAAAAATGTGTTTGAGTTTCTTCAGCTTCTGTAACTATTTTTTTTGGTCACATGACTGCAAAACTGTATATTCAGTCAGATGATAGTAAACAAAGTGTACCAACATGCTGGAAGGAACAGGACGAAGGTGGGACTGGCTTCATTTCTTGTCACTCTATAAACATTAACTGGTGTCACTGAGAGCTAGCTTGCTAAGTTGGTGGTGCGATTAGCTGGCCAGGACTGACACACTCCTGTCGAAACTGCGTACTGTGAAGCCAGCAGTAGGTTTTCTCTGTATACACCGGCTGCTGTTTAAAAAAAAAGAAAGACAGAATAAAGAATTTCGTTTCTGACGTGAATCAATGCCCCCTCCACCAATATAAATGTAGCTGTACATTCAGCTTCATCCTTTAAGTCACTCACACTGAATCCTTTTGACCTTTTGACCAATACCCTTCCATCTATCAATTGATTGTCCAGCCTCTCTTTCCCTCTCTCATCACCTTTTTTTGATCCATCATCCCTCCCCCCGCTGTCCTTCTTTTCCACTCTTGGGCTGAGGCTTGCCTCCTGATTTGAGACTTGTGAACAAGCTTTCCTTATAAGCCAGTCATTTCTTAAAGGGATATTCCGGTGTAAATTTAAGTTAGGGTCAAACACACTGTAATACCAAGTTAGACACCCCCTGGAGAGATCAATGTTGCTGACCGCTTGCTTCTCTAGTTATACCAACTTTAGTAACGACCGCATGATAGCAATACACAGCGGTCTACGTCTCCACACCGAACCTCAACCAAAACGCCACTCTATAGCGACAAATTATGCTCAGAACAGCACCTAACTTCATCAACAGGACATATAGGGTCCCAGTCATAGTACTAGCCATCAAACATCTTTTTAACTTTGCCTGATTTCTTTAGCAAAGAGACTAAACACAACTCGGTGATACGGTGTGTTTGACTATAACTTAAATTTCCACCAGAATATCCCTTTAATTTGTAAAGGAAGTGAAGTCCATCCGGTCCACTCCTCTTCAACACTTCCTCTATCTCCCCCAGAGTGTCAGTCAGGAGACGCAGGAACCCTCTTGCTGGTGAACCCAGTGGGAAAGAACGGGCTCAACCACTCAGGTCTGCTCTCTGAAGCTGCCAAGGTGTTTGGCCTCCGCAGCAGACGACTTAAACTCTACCTGGACCAGGACCTCACCCAGGGTAAGATGAAGACATGGCGGATATCATGTTAACCTTTGACTTAAGAGGATGTCTGTTGAGTGATTGATTCAATTATTATCCTTTCTTCCTTTATTATCTGAAGTGCCGCTGATTTGGAGAGTAGTTGCCGCTGCAGGTTTTGAATTATGGGAATTGTATTTGTTTCGGTTCTGTTGCATGGTACATGGGTTAAATGTAGATTGAATGAAATGCTAGCTGAGGGTGAGATTCCTTTTTGTCCATCAGATCAGCGTGACTAAGCGATTTTACTTTGACGTCTTACTTTGTGCATTAGATGGTGCATTAAAGATAACAACATTACAGCACTTACCTTAGCGTTAGTAAGTGAATTAATGCATTTGTTATAACCTTGTTTGAATAAACTCCATCTTGTCGATCTGAGCATCTGCAGAGATTTTTCAAACATTTCTAACTATTAAACGCCTCTATTTGTTTTCCAGAGCTGCCGGCGGATTCATCCGTAAAATCTCTGGACACCAAAACTCTGTTTGTGAGAGTTCTGCCTACAACCGCTGAAGCATAAATCCCGAAAAGCCATCACAGGATCTCGGCATCAACACTCGTCTCAGATGACTCGCAGGTTCCCTGAAAGAATAGTCTTTTTTTTATTTTATCATTTAAACCTCAACAGAGCTACTTTGAAGTACAGTGGATTCAGGAGTCTTTACTGAGAAATCCTGATGCAAAGCAGGTTTGTCTGTCAAGTCCACAACTTTCATTTCACGTCTGGGAGTTTTTGGGGATAACTTCAGGCACAAAATCAGCCTTCCTGGGGATGTCTTGAGATTTTGATGTGTTTGAACACATCAGACACGACGATAGCTCAAATTAATCATCGTATTCAATCCAAATCATTCAACACAGTTTCTTTACTTCATCTTTAATTTGTCATTAGTTATCGTGAGTGACAGCTCTACGAAGGCACAATGTGCTTTATTTATTCTGGGCCGAGATAAGATACAGCATCATTTCTTCACTTCAAATAGTCTGCACTTCAATAACAAAGATAACTCATACGGACCTGCTGGACTGGTGTGCGACATGGCTGGTTATGAAAACTAGGAACCGTCTGATGGATGGAAAACCAAACATCAAACTCTTCCTGGAAATACGGATTTGAGGGAAACTGTCTAACCTGTCTAGCTGTCAGAATTGCCGATGGGAGATTTTCTTTCTCATGCTAATAAGGAAAATTATGCAAGCCGTGTCCCTTCAAGGCGTATTTGAGGTGAGCTTAGTCCAGAGTAATTATTCCTGCAGCTCATTATTGGGGAAACCAATTTGGTCTATTGTGCTTACACTCATTTTGGAATTTAACAGATAAACCTTTTTCTGCTCATTGCATTGGGATTCCTTTGACAGTTTTAAAGGCATTTAAAAAAAGGTGAAATGGATTTTCAGGCTGCTGCACCTACAGGACAAAACGTTTCTCTCATGAAAAGAGCAACACGTGGAAAATGTTCTATTTTCAGTGTCAAACAGAATAAATCGAAGGTGAAAAGAATTAGCATGGTTTTTTCTTTCTGCTCACTCCCCACATGTCTGTGGGACCCAACAGACTGATTCAACTGCTATTATGAGAAAATGTTTCCCTTTGTTCATTTTGAGGCATTTTGATTGACTCGTGGTACTCCCCTTAAATGGAAAGTTGAGGAACCAGAACTATGAAAGGGATTTAAAGTCTCAGCAGCAAAAATTGAATTTAAATGAACATTTTGATGTTTTTTGGCACGAGGCTCGTTTGATTAGTCTAACACAAAGCTTGGAAACAGGAGAAAAGAGCTTGGCTATGCAAATTAAACAAGATCTGCTTATTCCTAAACCACTTGTACCCCACCAGGATCTTATCTGAATTTAATATCCTAATTAAGAACTGTAGAGGTACCTGTGGGCAGATTTTGCTTTGTGAGTTTATCAGTTGTTTACTCTTTTTTTCTTTTCTTTTTTTTTTCTAGTTTTTATGCCAAACAAGACTTATCAGCTTCTGGCTCAGAGTTGTAAGCAAATTTCCCAAATTTCAAGCCAACCTCTTAAAGGTCCTGTATCATGCAAAATTCACTCTAGAATGGTTTTCTAACAATAATATGCATCCCCAGCCTGTCTACCTCCCCAGAGGATAGGACATATATACAGTATATATCCTATCCCCTTTTTTTTCTATTCTATCCTCTCCCTCTTTTGCTTGTTCCACCTTTCAGAAAATGTCTGCTCAAACGAGCGGATGGAAACTATCTCCTTCCATGACGTCATGGACGGCGATAACTCCTCCCCTCTAGGTTGTTGACCCCGCCCAAGATGTTTGTTCTGCCCCCTGAAAATTTTCACTCAGACACTATTTTTCTCCCTTGCAAATGCTGGTTTGAAATGGCGAAGGTACAAGCAAGGCACAGCAGTTGCTCTGTTGCTGGTTGCACAGACGTCTGTGTCAGTAGACTGCAAGAACATAGTCACGAGAGATAACCATTTGTACAATATTGTGCACCCACCAAAAGAGCTCCAAGTAACTAGAAGACAGCGGAGAGAAGAAGAAGAAGCGGAACAAGAAAAGTAAACATCAGCAAGCGGCGAACAGCAAATTTCAAACGATGGACGCCAGGTACATCAATCCAGGAGAAGAAACGGCGATATTGGAAGCTGGGCTTGGGCGGAAGAGACTGGTAAAGATGGAAAGCCTCACGGTAGCTGGTGACAAAAAACTAAAATAGCCAGTTGCTTGTCGTGTGCCGGAAAGCTCACAAATGGAAGCAGTGGGAAAAAGTTCGGTAAAGTTGGGAAGATATTCACAGATTCAGACTTCCAGGATCAATACCTCTGAGATGAAACCTTGTCTGAACACAAATGATGCCTCTTTCATGTTGCAAAAGCACAGACTACTAGCTACAAGAATCAAAAACCAATTCTTTTTTAAAAACAAGTCGTTCTTTTAGCTGGATTAATAATACTGATCTCTATGTGCAGCCGGTAGCCGGGCACAGGATTTCTTCAGGATCCTCTCCTTCTGGGTCAGACTCTGGATCAAACTGGTATGGCTTGCACTAGCACTCTGTGTAAACATTAGCACATGGTACCATAGCACAGGCCACACCCTGTCTTCCAGGAAGCCAGGGAGGGGCAAGGCTTGCGCTGAAGGAGGCGTGGACACGTGCAGCACTCAGAAACAGCGTGTTCTCGGTAGAGCTCACTAGAGAGTTTTCAGGCTGGCTGAAGTCCAGGAAAAAACTGGATTTTTAGACAACAAACTTCAAACTGAGTGAACCTGCTGAAAAGGAGTTCAATATTGGACCTTTAAGAAAACGCATGTAGCGCAATTCATTGGCGGTATTGGTGGGGGGTGGTAACCCTCCAAAACTAACATTGTAGGAGATGTCATTCTGAAAATAAGAACTATAGTTAGAAATAAGGCCACTTGACTGTTTTCTAGTTATTCCACGGTTTCTAGTAAATTGCTAATCAGCTTGTAATAAAGCAGCTTATCTGTTACATCATCAATGTAGTGAAAGGTAAAACATAAAAAATAACAACCATGCTCCTCTGGCTAGAAAATAAAACTTTGTGATGGTGTTTTCTTTCTTTTTACCAGAGGCATATAAAAGAAATGTTTTCTGGTTGCTGCTGAGTCTTCTATTCTTCCTTGTTATTCAACAACGAGCGAGTTCAAGGACTGTGAGAAATGGTTTTTGCGTTCCTGGTAATGCTGCTGACCCAGAGAGGCATAAATGTTCCATTCAGTCACCGTGAACTTCAATCCTCAATGTTAAGATGTGTAAAACTGGGACTTTATCAATAAATGATAGTTTCAATTCAGGAATAATTCATAAAGTACCTCGATAAACATCATGTCAGTCAGTATGATTAGATTTGACAATAATAGAGAGGCATGGCAGCTCTCTTTAAGACTTAGAAAGACAATGTCATTTGACTGTTTGGATTGCATAACAATATTTTCCCATATTGTGGACAACATTGAGTTCTTGTGTATTAAAAAGTTAGGATGAAGTGAACCTCCAGGGGCTGTGAAAGGTAAACTAAGAACCTTCGATGCAGTAATAATGTGTTTCTGTAAAACTTAGTTTTTTTTGGCTGAAATGATGAGATGTCCTGTTATTGTACGTAGGTGGAGAAGCCAGGAAGGACAGCCTGTGGGCAGTTCAGGCACCTCTGCTGGTTTCTTAAGTGGATAACTTTATTGACTCCATCAGGACTAAATACTTATCCTTACTTTAGTGGTAAAACAGTCCTGATTGTCAAGTTTAGATACTCTGTGTATGTTTTTGTTCATGTGAGGACAATATTTATGTATTTTTTATACTGCGTTTTACAATGTTTATGTTTTTATCCCTTGATACAATATGGCCAATTAGGAAACAATTCCTTATGTTGGTAGAATAGCTCAGAATTTTACTCCACATGCATGAATCGCAGCATTTCTATTGTTAGTGTCACTTCAGTGTGATGATTTTATCCCCCCTCCAGGGCGGAGCAGCATGCAGCTTCACTGGTTAAATATTAAGCACACAGCTCTGTCTCATCCTCCTCTCATCCGTCTCGATCCCATCTGCTCCTGCTGCTTCATTTGTGCCTCTGCACACCCTACCCAGGTAAGAGAGCAGCTCTGTGACCCATCTGCTCATCCACTTCACAGAAATACAGTATGCGGTATGTGTAAAGTGAACATGATCCCAGTCACCCAGCCTTATGATGGACAACACAACACATAACACTGTGCTGCGGTGGCAGACAGCCAAAATAAAGTTTTGCCTCGGTTGTACAGGATAAATACGGGAGTGCTTTTGAGGATATATACATTTGCCGATAGGGGCTGTTTCTAACCAACTTTGACAACCTGGCAACACATGTATGCTGCGTAATGGAAAATGTTCGTCTCTGCCAGTAAATCAATTTTCAGTACCCTGTGTGTGGCCTACTGCAGAATGACAGCAGCAAATACTACCACAGAGTGCACAGGAGGTAAGAGGGTGAAGAAAGTCATAACAGATTAAGTGAGTGGTCAAAGAAGTGCAATTGTACATGCTGAAGGTTTACATCTTAGCTGAGGGGAAATCGGCAGATGATAGGCTGCATTATCATATCCATCACCTGTCTTTTCTCCTGTTGGTTTTTGTGTTTTCTGACAACTTTTTTTTTGTTTACATGAAAACAAAAAAGGTCAGATGTGCCTTAAGAAAGATTTGATAACAGAAGATAAGTTACCTTGCATTTTGGGAAGAAGAAGAGTGAAAAAAAAAAATTACTTCTCAACCAAGGTCAGTGTTTTTGCTTCAAATTTCGCTTCTTTTTAAAAAATGACTCGAAATAAAGGGGCTAACAGGCTGGTACTAGAACAGCTAACAACAGGTTAGAATAGCTATTAGCTACGACTTTATTCTCTTAAGTAACGATTTTTTTAGGACTTTATTCTTGTAATTACTTTATTACGACTTTATACTCGTAATTAATTTATTAGGACTTTATTCTCGTCAGTAATGATTTTATTACAACTTTATTCTAGTAAGTTGTGATTTTATTTCGACTTTATTCTTGTAAGTAAAGATTTTGTTACAACTTTTAATTTCGTAAGTCATGGTTTTATTTCAACTTTATTCTTGTTAGTAATGATCTTATTCTGACTTTATTCTCATAAGTAATGATTTCATTACGACTTTATTCTCGCAAGTAATTATGAAGTCTTAATTTTATCCGTCTCCATTTGGCCGTAATTCTCTGTCGTAGTTTTTGGCAGAAGTCTCTTAAAGGATAAAAGTGAAAAAAATATATATGTATTTCTCAACTGAGGTAAGTTGTTTTGCTTTGAATTTTGCTTCTAACCGTTTTAAAATGTGACTCAGTGTAAAGAGGCTAATCATGCGCTAATGTTACGTAAAGTTGTTGATAGCGTGAACTTTAAAGCGGGTTGTTAAGCAAAAAATGGCCATCGAGTTAAAACCAGGGTGACAGGGAGGATGAAGGCAACTGGTTAAAAGTTGATAAATATACATGTCATTGAAAAATTATATAATGTCACCATTATTATGCAGTGTACCCTAGAGTAGAAGTTGATGGATGAATTGGCGCAGACAACCACCAACACCTCCATGGCTCTTAGCTAAAGAAACAGCTTAACCGTGGGACAGTAGCCGTGTAAGTCAACAATTCTTCACTAAATTTGGAGTTCATGGGTCAGTTTACATAGATGATATCCCATGACAAAGGAACCCCTCTGTGTGTTGAAGGAGCTGTGCGCCAAAATGAACTGATCAGCGCACAGTTGGGACGCGCGTCGTGACTGAGAAAGAGGACATCGCAGCGTCCCTGGTCCAGCTCGGTTCCCTTCATCTCCACAAGTTCGGAATGCGGCAACTCTCTTCATCCTGATGCTCCCGCTCCTCCGCCATCATCATCACCCCCTCCTCTTCCTCACCTCCCTCCCACCAGAACAGCAGAAACAGGTAGGACACGTTGCTTATTCGGAAAATATCACACAGTCATCAGTTTGGGACGGCGGCGGTAACACATAGTCCTTCACACTGCTGCAGTCCCCGCATCCACGTCTTAGTTTATCCGTGACATGAGTGTCTCGGATAAAGTGTCATGGGAGCGGTGCCGTAAGATGCAGAGTCGATGATACTGAGAGATGCTCTGGTATCTGTTGGGAGATGCATCAGCAGGACTGACACACTGTTGCTACCCTCTCTGTCTACTGCTGCTGCTGCTGTTCCCACGGAGACGTGCATTGTGCTGCAGGTATGCAGTGGTGGTGATAAAACTCAGTACATTCTCACCGTCTATTTGTAAGATTTATTCCTCATAAGGGAATTTTCTCAGTTTACAAGGTGTATAAATACATAATCATTGGTTTATTATATAACAGGGCAACCTCTTTGTGTTCTTCATTTCCACTGAGAGTAAACTCAAAGTAACCCCAGAGTCTGAGGTCCAACCATTGCACATTCACCAGAGTCAAGTATTTGCTTGTTAGACAACACTCAGTACAGTTTTTCAAAGTTATCTGCATAAGCCTCTAAAACTCTTTTAAATACACGTTTCATGAAATAATGAAAAACATTCAATCCACTTTACAAAGTTGTATCTTTTTTGTAAGTCTATTTTTCTGCTTGTAGGTTAATTGTTGCAGTTGTCAGCAGTCATATTGTCCAGGTAACAATATGACTTGTTTCATGACATTACTTCAACCAAGAGCAGTCTATCTAATTGCTCTTGGTGTAAACCACATTGACACTCTGAGATAGGGCTGGGCAATAAAGAGATAACAATATATATCGAAAATTAATTTCCCTCAGTAGCAATATAAAACATGGTCAATGTGCTTTTTGATAGTCGGCATTCTGCCATGTTTTGGTAAACTATACGAATAGCCAATAAAACGGGGAATTGCTGGTCTGCTTTGCGCTGAACAAATCATGTGCTGAATTAGAACCAAGTAACAAACAACTGCGTAGTAGCAGACTGCAGCTACACGCTACCATAAAACTAACATGTGAAGCTGACAGCGCTGTCGGTGAGAAAAAAAGAAAATGATAGTTAAGGCAGAAATGCAGATGAAGGCTCAACAGATGACGCCATTGTCGACAACATTGGGCACGAAAACGTCGGTGGTGTGGAGGTATTTTGTTTTTTTGAGGTCGGACATGAAGCAGAGTAATGCGCACTGCAAATTATGTTGAGTATATGTTCTCGCAAAGTCGGAATATACCTCAAATCTTTTTCACATGCAATGCAAAAGGTTAGTGGAGTAAGAAGCCTACGGCCCCTGTGCACCCAAATCATTCGTTCCACTTTCTCTAGCGCAACGCCTTACAACAAAACGTTGACTCAAAAAACTCACAGATGCAGTAGCTTATTGTGTTGCAAGCTACCGATGCTACCGATAAGCACTGTTAAATTTAATATTTTATTATGTGATATGTATCAATATCAACTGATATGAAAAATATATTGTAATAAATTTTTTCCCATATTGCCCAGCCCTACTCTGAGATAGTTTGGCTCCATTGTGAAACTCTGGCTATGATTTTTCAGTCTAAAGTTTCTGCAACAAAACTAAAATCTGAGAAATATAATACAATGCAGCAGGAGACTCAGTTTGCAAGTAAAATTCATATCAAAATATGAGTTAGCTACTCCATTGGTGCTCCTGCTGTGACACTGTCAATGAAGTAAAATGTACATAGCTCATTTTTGTTTGTGTTTGCAGTGCTGTGAATTGGACATCATCTGTCGTTTTCTCAGAGTGGAGGGTCTTTGGGAAATGAATACAGGAATATGGTCGAATAGATTGTCTCAGGATGGTCGCACTTTGGTTGCACTTATGCTTGAAATGTACATCTCAAAGGAGTGTGTGTAGAGTTATGAGTTGCAGAGCCTAAGCCATAATAGTTTGTTTGTAACAGCAGTTATCACTGAAGTAAACCAGTCTGTTCACCTCTTAGGTAAGCTGAACACACACACACACACGCATGCACGCACACATACACACATTGTTTTTCTGTTTACAAAAGCATCCTCGTTGAAAATACTTCATTAGCTTATAAAATCATGAATTCTAATGAGCAAATTAGGTTGCTTAATTACTGCTGCAGATTTATTGTCCCCCTGTCTGTAATTTGCATATCATTTAACAGTATTGGAATTAATTTAACCATGACCAATTCTCACTGCAACAATCAAAGACACTTCAGCAGGCTTCAAGAATCTGTCTCTGATTATGTCTCTTGTGTGATTTCTCACCAC